ATTAGGGTAGGCAGAAACAATGGAACGCCAAATGCTATGATTCAGACAAACCTCTTTTGCTTCCTCCGCATTCATCAATCTTTTCATACACTCTCGCCGGTTACGGGTACTTTTAATTTGGCCCTTCTTCAGCACGTCGCCTATTTGGTCGACATACGTCCGTCTAGGGTGGATCTCCATTCATTCTTGTTCGATAAATCTCTTTCGTAATTCTTCTTTCATCCATTCTCTCTAAATGGCCAAACCAATGCCACATTCCCTTTTCGATTTTTGTTACTACATCATCTTTCAGTCCATACTTCTCTTACTTATCGTAGCTATTACAGCGAACTCGATATAAGCAACTCATTTGAACCAATTTCAATAAAAAAAGTTTCTTATTGGGAAAAGTTGCTTATAGGGGAAAAAGGAGTATAAAAATACTTACCGTCTGGAAAATATTTTTACTTATTTCTTTTACTAATTAAGCTGAGTAGAATAAATAAAATATAAAGAATGTTGCTTACAGAGGATGCTTATATAGAGTGTTCACTGTATTACAAATTTATCACATAAGCAGATGTGATAATGTATTAAGTGTAATGTTCACTATGCGTATTCAGTAGGTAGTAGGTTGAACCGTACCCATCCCAGAATCATCTAATGCCCAACCTAGGATGCGAGAGAAGCTTTGCAAAAAACATATCTGAGGATACATATGCATTTTTAAGGGACTAGACCCATCCCTGAATAATATTCTTAAAAGCGTTGACGGTGAGATTTTCTCTCAACCGACTTCAAAAGTAGGAGGTTCTCAATTCGGTTGTATTATTTTTTATGTTTGGTGCCTCACAACTCCGTTAATTGTAAACCGATTTAGAACTTCTTTGTTTAACTGAATGGACGTACTTACAGATTGGTCATTTGAAATCAGTATAATTTCAATCAGTATCAGTATAATTCGCAAGAAGGTTAAAATAGGAACATGGAATGTGCGCGGCATGCTGCAGCCAGGAAAAAGAGAGATTGTACACAAAGAACAAGAACAATACAATATAAAGATACTTGGGATCACTGAAACACACATGAGAGGTTCAGGATTTTATACATCCCCAAGTGGCCATACTGTTTATTTCTCTGGGCCGAGTGACGAAAGTAGGAATGGTGTAGCTCTTTCTGTATCAACAGATATAAACAAGGCGGTTTTAGGTTACGACCCAATAAGCGATCGCATACTAACATTGAGAATTAATGCAAGACCTTGTCGTATCAATGTGGTGGTGGTGTATGCGCCTACGTCTGCCGCAACCGAGGGTATTATGGAGGAGTTCTATGGTCGACTCGAGGAGACTCTGAAAGGCATGCCAAGAAGAGATATCACGCTGCTACTGGGAGACCTAAATGCAAAAATTGGCTAAACGTCGAAAGATGACCACCTGAGAGAAGTAGTCGGAAAATATGGTTTGGGTCAAAGGAATGAGAGAGGCGAAATGTGGCTTCAATTCTGTGCAGAGAACTCCCTCACAATTATGAACACGTGTTTTAAAAACCACTCAAGGAGACTTTATACGTGGGTAATGCCGGGAGATCGTGCACGAAATCAAATCGATTACATCGCTGTGGCAAAAAGATGGCGGTCATGTATTACTAATGCTAAAACCTATCCGGGGGCTGATTGCGGAAGCGATCATAAGCTCCTAATAGCAGAAATGAGGGTGAGACTCAAAAAGTGCAATCGCACAATTCAACCATTCGTGAGAAGACCATGCCGTGGAGAATTGGATGACTTTACTGAGCGCTTTGAGACCAGGGCAGCAGACTTAATTATAGACAGTCAAGTTGATGCTGACGATAATTGGAACAGAGTTAAAAACCTGATACTTATGTCACGTAAAAACAGCCAAAGTGTGACGCCTGATGCTCCCAGAAAAATTTGGATTACAGAGGAAACATGGCACGTTATCAAAGAACGAAAGGCGATACTCAGAGGAGATACAGGGACCGTAAGCATCGAAAGCATCAAATATAAAGAGTTGTCTGCGAAGGTTCAGCGATTATGTCGAAGAGACTATAACGACTACATTAACTCAATATGTCACGAGGTTGAAACGAATGCTCAAAGGTTCCAGACGAGAGACCTTTTCTTGAAGATCAAGAGTCTAACCCGTGAATTTAAACCAAAAACATGGGCCATAGAAAACGAAGAGGGTCAACTCCTGACAGAAATTGATCTAGTGACAGATAGATGGAAATCATATTGCCAAAGCCTATATTCTAATGCTCATCCTGTGCGGGCTCTCAGTGCTCCGAGTGTAGACAGGCATTGTACGGAGCCCAGCATTCTTGAATCTGAAATCATAAGTGCTCTGAACAAACTTAAAAATAATAAATCAGCCGGTAGAGACCAAATTTTCGCTGAAGAGCTCAAGCACTTAGGGAAGCATGGAGTAAGAATAATGCTGGATTTATGCAACCAGGTGTGGAGTACTGGTAGTTGGCCTACTGACTGGAAGGAATCAGTGCTGGTTCCTCTTCACAAAAAAGGATCTACCAGATCATGTGGTAACTACCGCACAGTGGCACTCATATCTCATGCCAGCAAGGTGATGTTGTATGTGTTAAATGGGCGACTGCAGTCATTTCTTCAGTGGCAGATACCTAATGAACAAGCGGGGTTCGTAAAAGGACGAGGCACAAGAGAACAGATCGTGAATGTGCGGCAGATAATTGAGAAAAGCAGGGAATTTAATACACCAATTTTAATGTGCTTTATCGATTACTCGAAGGCGTTTGACTGCGTACGCTGGGATTGCCTGTGGGTGGTTCTACGGGAAATGGGAGTGCCTTCGCATTTGGTGGCGTTGATTTCTGGGCTCTATCAAGACGGAGTCTCAATGGTACGGGTCAACGGGGTCATTTCGCAAGACTTCAAGCCGGAGAAGGGAGTAAGACAGGGATGTATACTCTCTCCTATTCTCTTTAACATATATGGCGAATACATAATGAGAAAAGCCTTAGAAGATTGGGAGGGAGGCGTCTCTGTCGGGGGTGTAAAGATCAGTAACCTCCGATATGCTGATGACACCACACTTTTCGCGTCGTCAGAGACGGAACTCGCCGCATTATACAACAGAGTGGAATATGAGAGTAGAATGGTTGGACTTGATATCAACAAATCAAAGACAAAAGTCATGCTCGTCGATAGAACCAGCCAACTATCTAGGACTGGTGAACTCTCTGATCTGGAGTTTGTGAGTGAGTTCGTCTACCTGGGATCTCTCCTGACCAACGAAGGAGGAAGCGAGCGAGAAATTAGAAGAAGGACTCAAATAGCAAAGACCGCAATGAACAAATTAACTTGCATTTGGCAGAACAGAAAAATCTCAAATGCCACCAAAATAAGACTAGTCCGTACTTTGATTTTCCCGATATTTTTGTATGGAGTCGAGTCATGGACAATAAGAGCAAAGGAGCGAAAAAAGATTGATGCTCTCGAGATGTGGTGCTGGCGAAGGATGCTGAGAATTCCCTGGACAGCAAAGCGCACAAATATATCTATCCTGACGCGACTCCGCATAAAAGATAGGCTCTCGACGGTCTGCTATCGGAGGATTCTTGGATACTTCGGTCATATTGCTCGACGACAGTCCGACAATCTGGACAAACTAATGGTTGTAGGCAAGATAGAGGGAAAAAGACCACGCGGACGATCGCCTAATCGATGGTCGGACCAAGTGACCGCCGTTACGGGACTGTCGATTGCAGCTGCCCTGCGAGAAGCTGAAGACCGTGTAAAATGGAATAACATCATAAGAGAGGCAACAGACACCTTCCAAGGACACGACCTTCAGTAATGAAGAGGACGAAGAGAGAGAGAGATAATTTCAATTGTGGCAAAATACAAAGCGGTAGACCGAGAAATAACTACTTGGGACAAAGATAGGAAACACTAGTTGTTATGTCGTATAGGGAGGTCAAAGATATGGTCTGGGATGGAGCTGGCTGGAAGAGAATGCATGAATTAATTGCCTCGACAAGAGAAAACTCCTAAATAAGAAGAGAAGAGAACAATGTAAAATATTCTAACGACAAATTCAAATTGGTATAGACAGACTTCTTTATAGAATCGCTGGGGCGCGAGTTCTACTCGCTCATGAATGATTATGAAATGTACTCGTATTATCAAAACAATGATAAATATCGAATATATACCACTAATGATGGGTCCACAAACAAGGATGTACTGTGAAACTAACATATGAACTTTAATCTGTATTGTTTATAATAAAACTGAGTTGTTATGTCTGCTCGTGTCTAAGGTCTACGCCGTTTGTTCCGCTACCACGCAGATCCGGATGGACAATTTCTGATGACACTTTTAGAATCTCCAGTCAACAAGAATTTGTATATATAAAATACTAACATTTTTTACCCGCGATTTCGTCCGGGTAATCAGGATATATGTTCTTTTTTATGGATGATAATAGAATGGTAACCCCTCCTGCGCTAACGGTATACGCTGACGGGTCACCAGTGAGGGATGATAGATGAGAACAAAAAGGCAGGTCAGTTAGCCCATCATGATGAATACACCTGGAATTCAGTACCATGGATGGATGGTTACCTACTATATAAGTTAGAGACGGACATAAAAAGTGGTTATGTCCATCTCTATTCTACGTAGTAGGTACGAATATATTAGTTAAGGCGCTAAGAAAAAATAAACAAACAAGGAAAGGTATAAAAAATATGACATTGTTTTATTAATCTATATAATCAATTACACATGAACTACAGGATTTTGTAAATATTGCTACCATTTTTCGTTGATTTTGTAATAATATGTATTGAATGTTAATGTAATCAAACAAACCCTGGCTGTTACATGTACCTAGGTAAATGTCTCATGTCTAAATTAATCGATGACCCAATTCTTCAATTTGTACTTGAAATATTGTCTCATTACGGAGATACGAATAAACCGTCTTACTGTTTAAAACCACAGATAACCTTTACCAATAAATAAAGTTAACCACTAGCGGCAATCAGTCGCTGCCGTGTGAATTTAGAGTAAACATCTTGTTCGAACTCAATTATTGCACAAAAAGAAAAAAAAAATACATTCCAATTTTAAAATATTTTTAAAAAGTTGAATGACGCTTGAATATCGCGCCAAAATAACGGTGACGGGAATGGCGGGAAATGGTGATGTAATTAAAAAATCTTTTAATGGCTCCAGTGCTTTTGGAGTTAATAAAAGGGCACAAGGTTCTATCGCCAAAAAAGCTGAAGCATATTTACAAGCTGTGAGTCAGAGTCAAGGGCCTCCACCGAAGGGTGAGTGAATATAAGTGGTAAACTTAATATGGCCGTTAAATGTTAATCTAAAAATAAATGCTATGTAAATAAAATAAAGTAAAATGTTAATTAAAAGTAATTAGTTAAATTTTAACAACATTAATATTAAAACATAATTATTAGTAAGTAGTAAACGATGTCATGTGCATTAGTTAAATTTTGTTTTTATTAGTGAAAACCTGACTTTGGTTTTTGTCTTTACTGTTTTTTTTTATTATGAAAATTTTTAGCTGTTGGTTTTTTTTAATAAAAAAAAAAATATTTTCGGTAATTTAATTTGCTTATTTTATATACTACATTATAATATCAGGTATAATAAATTTTATAGGTGAGTAACTATTTATACTGGCAGGTCTTTTTATTTATTTTAATATTTAATAATTTAAAGTGATACTTATTAAAAATATTATTTTATGAATCACCATTCTCTATCAAACTGTCATAAATTTTTAGTTTTATACAAATCTGAACGATAACAAACTTCGTTCATAGTCGTATCTAGCAAGAATGTTTTAATTTTAAAAATAAATGTTTTAAGGACTGGCTTTATAGAATCGATCACATAATATATGTTCTCGTAAGCTTAGTAGACTAACTTCAAGTATTTGAGTGGCCAACAGAACCTGTTGTCAATAAATTAAAATTGTGTTCCACAAAAAAACCAACATCAGTTCTGGCAAAACCAGTTATTTTAATTTAAAAACTAATCCACTGAATTAATTTTGACAAAATTTCTATAGGAGCAATCTGAAGGTTATCATACCTTTTCAAATAAAAAAAAAAAAAGAATTTTTAAATCGGTTTTTAAACGACGAAGTTTTGAAGAAACAAATATAAAAAAAAACACACACACAACCGTATTGTTAAACTCTTAAATTTTTGAAGTCTGTTCAAAACGACTTGTATCCACAATGCAGATGGGGTTACTCCATCATTTTCATTCATAGTTCATTTGACAATCTAAGTATCATAAATTATTCTCCTTTCGGTTTATCGTATTCATGGACCATATTGTCTCTATGTTTACCCAGGATGGTTTGGTAACATGTGGTGCTACATTAAAAAAAAAAAAAAAAAACAAATAATGACGTAACTTCAGGGCTGGTTCACTTTTAGTTTGCCATAGCACTACAATATCTGATGACTGCCAGCCCTGTACACCAACAAATTGGCCAGTCGGATCGTTTGCACTGACCTTATTGATTGTCATTGCAATGTTATTTCTCCGTTATCTATATATTTTATTTTTTTATTTATATCAGCTAATGGACGAAAATAGAAATATTTTTGTTTTTTTTTTTCTTATTATCTAATTCCCAAAGATTGTTATTATTATTTTTTAAATTTCACTAAAATTCTCATCTCCCCTCTTAAGGAGAGGAGATGGCAACTAACCCCCGGCAGAAGCACAGTCGGCCGGGGTTCAGGGCCCCAGGGAGAGAAACGCGGGCAGAATCTAAGAGCACCGCTTTCTGCATCTTTCCCGGGAGTGAGCCGCCTCGGAATCCCAACCGTCTGAGATGTTGTTTCAGACTGGTTGGGATAAGACCGTTCACCGACATAACGATTGGGATGATTTCGGTAGATGTCACCCCCCACATTTCGGTCACCTCGTGAGCCAGGTCGAGATATTTTCTCTTCTTCTCGGTTTCGGCTTTCACGAGGTTCTCGTCATGCGGTATGGTGACATCCACCAAAAACACCCTCGAGAGTGCCCGATCCATCACCACGATATCAGGTTTGTTCGCAAGAACGGTTCTGTCCGTGATGATGGATCGGTCCCAGTAGAGCCTTACGCTGTCGCTTTCGAGGACCGGCTGGGGCTCGTACTTATAGTACGGCAACCTCTCATTCGCGAGGCCGTACTTCAGAGCTAGCTCTTGATGGAGTATTTTGGCTACCTGGTTGTGTCTGTGCAAGTACTCAGTGTTGGCAAGAGCTGAACAACCCGAAAGCACATGTCTGAGTGACTCTCCGGGATGGCGACATGCCCGACAGATGTCCTCAGTGCCATCCTTCAGAATGTGCTTTCGGTAATTGTTCGTCTTAACCACCTGATCCTGTATTGCACAGACAAAACCCTCGGTCTCTCCGAAGAGATCACCGAACTGTAGCCAGTGCACGGAGGTCTTCGTGTTTACGTACGGCCCGTGAAGGGCTTTGAAGAACCTTCCGTGCAACTCCTTCTCTTTCCATACGGCCTCCCGCTGAGAGGTACCCAAAACTTCGGGTTTTCGCCAGTCCTCTTTAGCCAGAGAAAGAGGGGTGAATCCTTTGTCACATTCTATGACCTCTCTATGCAAACCCTCGTCTATTTTCTCCAGAAAATATGTCCTGAGGCTGTCAACCTCGCGGTTGTGCATGGTCTTAACACTTAACAAGCCTCGACCACCAGCCTTCCGCGGGATATACAGCCTCATGACTGACGATTTCGGGTGATGCATTCTATGGAGGGTCATAGTTGTGCGGACTTTCCGATCCAGGGCTTCGAGATCGGTTTGAGACCATCTGAGCACGCCAAAAGTGTAAAGGAGTACGGGTATGACCCAGCCGTTATAAGCTCGGATTTTATTGGCGCCCGACAAAGAACTTTTCAGTACTCTTGTAAGGCGCGCAAAAAATTCCTCGCGGACTGACTGTTTCATATCCGTCTCCTTCACACCGATGTTTTGTGACATGCCCAGATACCGGTATGTTTCAGCCTCGGAGAGGGTTTTAATATTAGAGGGATCTGTGGCGATCTCTTCAGTTTGAGTGACCCGTCCCCTCTGCACATGGAGGACCGCGCACTTGTCTATTCCGAGCGCCATCCTAATAGAGCTGCTATAATCGTTTACGATATTTAGCAGCTCCGTCAGGCGTTCGACGCTCGGAGCTAGCAGTTCGGAGCGAGCGAGGTAAATCTACAGAGGATGCAATTGTTCTGCTGACGAATTTAATCGCAGACTATTTGGATAGTGGTAAGAGATGTGTTGGTGTTTTCCTGGACCTTGCCAAAGCCTTTGATACGGTGTCTTTACCAATTTTAATGAGAAAGTTAGAGGGTTTTGGGATAAGAGGGGTGGCTTGGAATTGGTTTAATAGCTATCTACTAAATAGAAAACAGTATGTTCAAGTAGGCCATTTAAAAAGTAACTACCTCACATTGTGTCATGGAGTTCCACAAGGCAGCATCCTCGGTCCGATTTTATTCATTATCTATATGAATGACATCTTTAAACTACAGTTATTGAAGGCCGAAATAGTTTGTTATGCTGATGATACGGCTATTTTATTTCATGATACAACCTGGGAAGAAGCGATGAAGTTAGCCGAGCACGGTCTCGCACAAGTGTCACAGTGGTTGGACTCTAATTTGCTTTCCTTGAATACGAGTAAGTCTAAATACATGGCCTTTCACAAAACCAGGGCTTCACGACCTACTTTACTCTCAGAAATTAGAGTCCACACATTGTCATGTACAGCGTCAAACGCACATATAACGCACAATGTTACAAGATCGTGTAACTGCAATGGCATAAGTAACACTGATTGCCTAAAATATCTGGGTGTTCAAATTGATGAAAACCTATCATTCAGGTCACATATTGTAAATTTAGCATCTCGAGTCAGGAAATTAATTTATGTGTTTAAACTCATACGTCACAGTGCCAACAAGGAGGTTCTCAGATTGATATATTTTGCAATGTGTCAGTCTATTGTGCAATACTGTATTAGAGTGTGGGGTGGAGCGGCAAAAACGCACTTGATTCTGCTGGAAAGAGCTCAAAGATCTGTACTCAAAGTAATGCTTAAAAAACCTGTTCGATTTCCTACAACAGACTTATATAGATTGTCTGCTGTGCTAACTGTTCGTCAGCTATACATTCTACAAGTTTTTAAATCGTGTCATAAAAATTCACTTTGTCATCTTGACCACCCAAAACTATTAACAAAAAGAATTTATAGAATTCGTGTTCCTTGTATTAAAACCACATTTGCAAGTCGCTTACCACGTTTTCTTCATCCTTACATATACAATAAAATACTTAAATGTTGCCAAATAAAGAATAATACTTCATCACAGGCTAATAGACTTGTAAAAAATTATTTACTTTCATTAAATTATGAGGAAACTGAGAATTTCATGAAACCCTGATCCTGACTGTGTACATATATATACGCACGTACCTAATTATGCACGAATGCACAAGCATGCACGCACGCACTCACTCACTCATACACAACATACACACACACACACACACACACACACACACACACACACACACACACACACACACGCACACACGCACACGCACACGCACACGCACACGCACACTCACGCACGCACACACGTACTCACCATTTTACATAGTTTTCCTTATTTATTTATTTATTTTAGTTTTTGGTAAATAAAGTGTACTAATAAATAGGTAATCGCACTCATAGTCCCCAAGATACAGGTCTGGCCTAGTTTGGGGACTGATGGTAATGCAGATATTTCCTGTACTAAATATTTTTATTTAAATTTTAATATACATATACATATAGTTTCAAGTCATCCATGTACAGAAGGTGAGACACTCGTGTACCTCCTCTCCGATACTGAAATCCAGTCCCCGAATTCTCCAGTAAAGTACTGAGTGGATTCAGGGACAGGCAAAACCAAAGTGGACTCAAACAATCGCCCTGGAATATTCCCCTCTTTATCTCTATCCGGTCAGCGGTATCCGTCAATCGCTCGCCCTGGATAGTCAGGATCGTCGTCCACTGCCCCATGCATGCCTCCAAGAACACTCGAACTGTACCGTCGATCTTGTACAGCTCGAGTATCCTCCGGAGCCATGAATGGGGCACGGAATCGAACGCCTTTTTATAATCTATCCAGGCGGCGGAGAAATTCCGACGGTTCCGCTTGACCACGTGGCCAGCGACAGCATCAATGAGGAGCAGCTCCTTCGATCCGCGGCTACCGCCCCTGCATCCGTTCTGAGCGCTAGATAGGATCTTATTCTCGTACACATGACGAGAGATCTTAGCGCTCAGAACGGATGTTAACGTCTTATATACTCGTATTGTCGTAAGACAAGTGATGGGGCGATATTTAGATGGATCCGCGGTATCGTCCGTCTTAGGAGCTAAATGAGTGATCCCGGTTGTAAGGAAGTTCGGGAGCGTCCTGTTTTCGAGGGCACTCTGGAATTGCACGGCTAAGGTCGCATGGCTGGCCGAGAACGCCTTTAACCAGTAGTGCTGCAATCCGTCGATTCCCGGACTTTTCCAGTTCGGAGCCCGACGGATCGCGGCAACCACGTCTTCCTCCGTAATGGCAATGGCGTTCATCGGCGTTATTCGAGCACATGCTTCCTCAACATCGTGCATCCATGCGCCCTCCTCATGTTCCACAGGTTCAGACCACAGCTGTCTCCAGAAGGCGACGAAATTGGCTGTTTCGGGTCTTTGTCCTGTGGGCTGTAGTTTTGGGCGCTCCAAGTTCCTATAAAACTTCCGTTGATCACTCATAAATTATATTTATTATTATATTTATATATATCACTCATAAATTATATTATTATATTTATTAAGATTATTCCCAAAGAGGGTTGAAGTGGACCGGCCACCTGCCTAGGCCGGTTGTAAAACTAATAACCAAGTCTTTTTGTAATATGGATAAAATCATATTACGCCGACCCCAAATGATTGGGATAAGGGTAGGAAGATGATGATCTAATTAGTGAGCGGTCCCAGCTTCGCACGGATGCAAATTGTACTCGTGTATACGAATAAAAATATAGTAATTTATTTACACATCGGAATCTGGTAGAAGTATCATCATCATCATCATCATCATCATCATTATGATACCACCCGTTAGCTATTCACTGCTAAACATAGATCGCCACCATAAGAGGGGGTTTATCAGTTACCATGCTTGGCTGGTGGTTTGATAACTGGAAGTCATTACAACAAGGTATATTGCTAGCATTGGGGCCGCTAGCTCCCGAAAATATATGCCCTGAATTGTTTCATTGTTCATTAATGCATTATGAAGTCATACAATTGTTAAATACATGAATAAACATAATTGTCTAATCTTGTAACGGTGTTGAGTGCAGTTTTAAAATAGACACCATGTCTTGTTCACTTCGGATCATTGGAAGCAACATAAATTTTTACTAATATTATAAACGTGAATGTGAGTATGTTTCTTTAGGCTTCTTAATGATTTAGTCATCCAATCATAATAAAATTTATCATTTAGAATTTTGGATAAAAGTCATTGAAGGGATGACATAGACTATTTTCCTTTTGGACAGTCAACGTATTATCAGGTATATATCGATTACGCGAATGAAGTCGTAGGAAAAACTAGTTTTCTATATTACAATCCATCATAATTACACCCTATCCATCATTCACTATTGTATGAGTCTTATGTATTTCACCACAAAGAACAATCTTGCGTCACAGTCATCCAGTGACTCCATGCAATACAGCTATATTTTTTTTTATTAATTATAACGATTGTATGTTTATTAGTGGCCAAAGAAAAAACTCTGAAGTTGGAGGCGGTGTCGAGGGTGGCCGCTATACCAATAGTCGGCTCAAGCATCGATGTCACAGAGAAGTTATACCATAAAATAAAGGTAAATAAATAAAAATATTTACTTAATCTATTTCTCTATATTTGGCACAGTATTCGTATTTGGTAGCGTGGCTTTTATCATATTTATTAATTAAAATTTTAAATAAACTGACTGTAGTAATAAACAATACCTAAAAAAGAAAAACTGTGGTGTAAACATGCCAAATTGTATACTGATATTGTATGGATATTATTAATAATTAATTGTAGTAATTGAACCGAAACATAGAGCGTGAAAAAAAAAAAAAAACAAATGTAATAATCGTTTTATTTATTTGTTTATATGACAGTTTTTTTTTTTTTCGAAAAAAGACTATGTCAATATGAGCACTACCATGTTCTTAGTTGTGCTAAATAGTGTCAAAAAATATTTAAAATACATTGAGCATCCTAATGCTTTCTTTCTTTGTTCGGTGAGGTTGAGCTTAAAAATATTTGCGAACTTATAGACATATAGATGCCGATAGAAAGTTGCGTAAACATAATATAACTACGTATAAAACATAAATACACATTCTTTATACAATTGCTACTGATAAAATTAATGATTGGCAATCTGAAATGGCTTATAAAGATAATAAGGTACCTGCTACCTATAGGTATTATATATTTATTTATTTATTATAGAATGGATTTCATAACACAATCAAAATAAAGTAAATAAGACATTATTTTAATCTGTTCCGCTGGTTTTTTTTTGTCTCAAAGCACGTGCTTACATGTCTAGGATTCGGTTTTTTTTTAATGGGTGATAATGGAATGGTAACTCCGCCCGCGCTTTCGGTATACACTGGCGGGGCACCAGTGAAGGATGATAGGTGAGAATGAAGCAGGTCAGTTAACCCATTGTGACGAATTCATCGAGAATTGTTCACGATGGTTTCCAGGGGGAACCACATGGAGGTCGACCTGATAGTATATAGCTAGCAATGGGTTCATTAGACCCCATTACTAACAATCCCTTCCCCCCCTCTAGGATTCGGTTAGAAGGGTGGAATATGGCATAACACTTAGTAATAAACAGTAGGTAAAAGTATGAACAAAGTCAAGTCAAGATTTTATTAGTGAAAGAATTATTAATATCATCTTCATTATTATTGTTATTTATGGTATTATTATAAGATTTTATTCAACCTCTATTGAAACATTTATTTCACATTTTCTAACCTTTTATGGGATGGGTCCTTATAACTTCTTTTATTTTTTTAATCTTTACACATTTTAGTTAGTGCATAAACATGCTTTTTTTTTTTTAAAAAAAGCAAAAACGTATAGAATTATATTTTTTTAATGGGTGGAAATGGATTCTGTGGTCTACGCTTTTGGTATACGCTGACGAGGTACCTGTGATAGATGATAGGTGAATATGAAGGTAGATCATTTGGCCTATCATGAATAATTCAACAAAAATTAACCACGATGGTTTACAGGGGGTATTGAGTGAAAGTCGACCTTTACTATTAGACATAAGCAAACTGCCTTGAGTACGGTCGTCTCAATTTATAAAGATCGATTGAACATTATAAATATAGCTAATACGCAGCTGACAGATTATCAGGTAGATTATCAGGTACTTATGAAACATATCCTTTGTAAGATTTGAAACTGAAAGTGGAATATTTTGCGCAGGAATCAAACCGCCTCTTCCGCTGGTATTTAAACCTAGGAGAGAAGTCTCTAGCAACTGGTGCTCAGCTGGCCCTGCCGGCGGTGATGCTGTTCGAAGGTCCCATCCACCAGTTAGACAAATTCCTTTGCAAGTCTTTGGATATTGTGGAGAAGAGAGTGCCATCTATATACCTTCCTCCGGAGACGGTGAGTCATCATCATGAATGAGTATAGGTTTTTTGTATTACTAACTAGCTGTATTCCACTGCCTCGCTTGCGTGAAACAGTATATACCCATCCCCCCACCCCCCTAAAATATTTATTTATTTAATTACCTTTATTGACCATAGATAATATGGTACAAAAAGTGAACTTCTTGAATTACTCCTCTCCATCCAAAGGTTGCCTGGAAGAGATCGCTCTTAGCGATAAGGTCGCCCATTGTTTTCTCATTGTTATTATTTCTTGTAATTATTTATATTTATAATAAGTTTACTATTGTAATCTTTTGGAGGAAACAATAAAGAGTATCTATCTATCTATTTTCATGTTTATAGTATTCTCTAAATATAACCAATAAATTTAAATACGTGGTTGCGATGATAATTATCTGCTGACGTTGATAATTAAATATTAAATGGTACATTACTTGTTTCGTAAGATATGTGAAATTATAATTAAGCGTGATAATGACCTTATACTGAGGAAAATGATTGCTTCACAATGAAACTTTCCATACTAATCAGTGATAAACAATCACGTTGTGTTAGGTTAACATTGCGCGGTCGTATTTTCTAGACAAATGTTGGTTGGCTATTCATGACTGTTTTTTTTTTTTGATGAGTGAAAATGGTATGGTAACCCCGCCTGCGCTAACAGGATACGCTGGCGGAGCACCAGTGAACGGTGATAGATGAGAATGAAAACAGGCCAGTTAGCCCATCATGATGAATTCATCAGGAATTAACCATTATAGTTTCCAGGGAGAACCGCGAGGAGGTCGACCTGGTTGGGTATATTGCTAACAATGGGACTCTCAGTCTCCATTACTAACTATCCCTTTCCCCCTATTCATGACTGTTAGCTAGGGGTTGCAGCTAGTGTTACTTTACGAAATCTAGTGGCGGTGTTATTTAATAAGCTACCTAGAGAATTAAATGAGTGATTTAAGTATTTTTAGGACAAAATTGAAGTCATTATTGCTTAGAGAGATGTCTGTATTCAAGTGACGAATTCATACTATCGTAAATTTAAATATATATGTTGTATGTGTTAAGGGATGACTCTAAATTGACTGTATTTTGTTTTTGTGCTTAATTTAATTTATATTTTCATGTACTCTTTAAATTTTATTGTACCTATTATGACATTCAAATACAAATTATTGTTTATGAATAAATAAAATTTAAAAAATAATAATGATTAGAATGGTCCTAAGAAAATTAGACAGATTCGCTTCTTCGTAGTCACTTAATTATGGCAGAAGCCCTAGCAAAAAGTTCTTTTGCCCTACTTTAAACTTGGGTCTGGCTACGGCCCTGTGTTTATTCTGTATGTACGTATACATATTCTGTATGTATGTATACTTATTCTGTACTATTACTTGTACACTACCATTTTGCTTAATTGCTCTCCAAATGGACTAGATATACTGAGATTTTTTGGGTGTAACTCTAATAATCATAATCAATATATTTTTACAATTAAATGATCATAAAATGGTTTATTGAATCCAAAGTTATTTTTGCGTAATTGTATTTAGAGACTGGCTTTTGCTCCCTACTTTGTACACATCAAAAGTACGAAAATTAACGAAATAAAATATTTCTAATAGACGTATCAAGACAACATTTATTCAATTAGATTCTCAAAAATGCAACAATAAAAACTGTATCTAATTTAATGCAGTAGTTGTTACGTAATGCCAGACCAAATATAAAGATAGACGGACAAAAATTTAAATTAATTATTCAATGAAATATCTACTATAGTTCTTATACATTACACTACGTCATCATCATCATATCAACCTTTAACTGTCCACTGCTGAACATAAGCCTTGGGGGGTTTTACCAATAGTTATCACGCTTGACAGGCGAATTGACAACCGAAGTCAGGCTTTAGAGATGTTTTGAGAGGGACGTTTCTGCCTATCCCTCGCCCTCCCTTAGTCAGTTCTTACGACACACATAGGATAGGAAGTGGCGGCTTATTCTATGTTGGGGCCACACGGCCACTACACCACAACTACGTATTAGTAGGGCTGCCATCTCTAAAACTTGCTCCCAGAACCGGAAGCGTAAGTTCTCCGGATTTTGGAGCATTCACCTCGGACATTTCAATTTTTACTTGACTTTTTTCATTCACTTACATCTTGATTAAAATATATTTTACTCCGTACTTGATAGAAGAAAACTTTAAGTTTAAGCATCTTTTGTTGTATAAAATAGTGTGTTTAATAGTTCTTGTGAGGACAAGTGAGTGATTTTTCTTTATTTTTTAACCTTCTTAGGTGTTAAATAAAAAATAAACAAATCCAATATTAGTTACTCAGTTAATAAAACTAAATGAAAACTTGTTTAACTGTTTATTTTTCCATACAACTAACAATATTTACTTTAGTTTTAAAACAACTTAAATCTTACTTCAAATTCAGAAAGTTATAATATAATATACTAAGGAACAATTTTAACAACCTCACATGTTTATTTCTTTATATTACAAAAAAGAAAACACACTTTCATTCTGTAAATCCCCGGACTTCATCCAAAGTAGGACAAATATAAGGAAATCTGGACGGATGGCAGCCCTATGTATTAGTAATTAACTCTCAAGTATATTGTATTTTTTTTTATTTTTGGAGGTAATTGCGCACAAATAAAGAGCTGTACAGGCTATCAATCTATACATCTAGAGAGCACAGTACAGATCGTGCCTTACATTAATTTATGTAGTGGCGGCTAATTATTACATGTTTAATAACTATCGTAATGTCGTAGGTCAATCACGTTTTCGTGTTTTGATGATCTTTAGTCGCGACCACATGATTGTTCTAGAATATGCAACGTAATAATGTATATAAATAGGCAAACAGATTGTTGCATGTTCAGAACCTGATACGGAGTTTTATAGCTACGGACAAAAATAAAAAAAACAAATGGCAGTTTAATTTGGAGCGAAGTCAGACCTTAGAAATATAGGTAAAAGAGATAGACGCAGCAAATACGTACTTTATAAAAAATAAATTCAATTATTCTCTGCTAAGGGGAAATTTAGATAAACGTTTAAACGTTTAAATTCGTATCTCTGTGTTGTAGCACTGGAACGAACTATTGGATAACACTTCTAGTAAATATGTATTATATTATGATTAATGACTTGACACTTTCTCTGCCGTATGGTCGTGGAAGAGAATGGGCCACCCCTTCCTTTTGCGTGCATGTCGTAAGAGGCGACTACGGGAACTTAATGGTCAAAACATGAGCAACAGTCTAATTGCAATTGCCCACCCGCCTGTCCAGCGTGGCAGCTACTGGCAAACCCCCCCCCTTATGAGGGAGGCCTATGTTCATTAGTGGACAGTTAACGGTTGATATAAGATAATAATAACACTTTAAAAACAAGCTACTTACTTAATACATAGGTTTCATGATCAGATCTAATCAAATCTATCAGCCAAAATTCTCAATTATGAAGACAAATAAAACGAGCACAAAGTTGAGAGATGAGATTGTATTATTTTATTAAATTCCTGTGGTTACCAAAAAGTTTTACCATCAACTTTTATGAAGGTACCATAGAGTAGGCTTAATTCCAAAGCTGTGTTTTGATTTGAAGTGTAGGATATCCCATCCATACAGCAGTGAAATTACAGACTACGGAGATATAGGAGATATAAAATCATAGTCCTCAGAAATGGTAAAGCATGAAAGATCTGTTCATCAGAGTGACCACCAGTTTGTTTGCCTTTCTAAGTTGCATAAAAAAATACCTTAATGGGAATTGGTTTATAAATAATTTAGTTATGTATTTTAAAATGCCAAGATGGACGGATGTATGAATATTAGCTTACAAATAAGGCAATTCAATTAGTTATGAAAAAATAGGGTCAGTAACTATTTTCCTTAGAAAATAAATCACGATATTTCCAACTTGACTTAAAAAAAATTTGAATGTCTTTATTTTCATTTCATAATAGCCGTTAACTGTCCACTGTTGAACATAGACTATTTTAAGGAGTTTTGCTAGAAGTTTAATATCACGCTTGGCAGGTTGAATTTCAACTGTAGTTAAGCTTTGGTTATGTAAAGACATAAAGAGGGACGCTGCTGCCTATTCCTCGACCAATAAATTCCCTTAGTAGCCGCTTAATGACACCCACAGAAAGGAAATTGTGTCATATGGTTACATATGATTTTTTGTATACAACTTAGAATGGCAAACAAGCTGACGGCCCACCTAATAGAAAATGGTAACCGTCGCCTATAGACATGAGCAGTACCATGGACATAACAGAGTATACTGTTTCACCCATGATACCCCCCATGCGTTTCCATTCCTGAGGACTCAGGTGTTATTCCTCTGTACCCAGTAAATTCACGCCATATCCCACCCTTCTAACCGAAACACAGCCATGCAAACACAACTGCTTCACGGTTGAAACACGAATGGGACAGAGGTACTCAAGCAATCGACTTTTGTACAAAGTCTCCCTCTGGTAAATGAACATTTTTAAGTCGGTTTACATACGCGATATCATTCCCAAATCTAAGTCAAGTATGATGATTCTTTTATTTGCTCAAAGTTGAAATCCTTTATCGTCCAATTTTCTTAACATTAAAGTTTTTTATAAGTTGATTTTTAATTTTAAATTAGATAAGTTAATATAAAGTCGTTATGGTCTCTAGATGTATTCCGAGACCCGGCGATACGTGCGCCGGCGCGCCAACTCGGTGAAGCAACTGGGGACGGCGGTGCTGGAGTCGAGGGTCACAGCCGTGACGGCGACAGCACTGGACCGCGCGCTCACCACCGCCGACAAGTACGTCGACAAGTACCTGCCGCCCGACAACCAGGATGCATCTGATGGTAATCATTGTTATATTTCACCCGGCTTATCAAACTCTAACCCCAAGAATTTTCCAATTAATATTTATAATAATTGCAGATTTTTTCTAACTTATGTTGCATCTTCTGTTGACGATAGGAGATGCATATAGACTCTATATAAATAAAAAATAATCTTTAAATGTATTGCTAAGTACAAAATTCGCTGGGCCAAGTCAGTCAAATTTTTTTTAAATTTTATTTTATAAAAAAACAAATTGTTTTGTTTTTTTTTATATTTTCATTGAAAGACCGAAAAAGATACTTATGATAAGAAAAATTGCAAATATTTTCTGGAAAAATGGGAAATCCTCATTTTTCTAGCTGCAAATTCAAACATTTCAATCAACCGATTTTCATGAAATTTGGGAAAATTACCTTATATTGCTTGCTTCAACTTGAGGGTTAAGAAAGTTTTTATTTCGGCAATAAATGGATCCGATAGGTAGCAGTAGGAAGCAACACGTTTGTTTGTTAGATAATAGAGAATATGTGTCTATTTATCGTCGTATCATTAACCGTAATAAACTAATATTTCAATCGACATAACAAGCTGACGGCTTGCCTGATGGTAAGTGGTAATTGTCGCCTATAGACATGAACAGCATTATGAATACCACAGAAGAAGAAGAAGAAGAAATATATTAACTATATAATAACCTATTTATGATGAGAATATCCAATCCGTTGCGATCATGTTATTAATTTTCGAATATTTCGAATATTTTGATGTACTTTTCAATTAATCCTTAGATAGTGGCCGTGATTCAAATATTAATTTTACATAGATAAGATACTACAAGCGCAATCAATACATTTATATAAAAATAATTATTTTTGATAACAATCAAATTTAACAATTCATACAGACCGATTTATTTTATCTCTGTCACAATGTTCATACGTATCTAATCATTTTAGGAGGCCATTCTGGTACTTATTGGAACGACAATTTATTTATTTATTCTTTATTGCATTTATGCAAATATCAAGCTTAATGCCGTATTAATTGATGTAATAGTATTGAATAATATTATAAATTGTTATATACTTATTTAATTATAAATTATCATTATTTATTAATGATTCTGGAAAATATAGTTTTCTTTTATAAATGAAAATCGAATTCGATTTTTTTAATATCGTTTTTGGGAATTCTAAACATAATTAGTTAAAAATTAATCCTTCCAATTCCAACCTTCCAATCCAATCCCTTAGACAAGATAAGTATAATGTTAACTATCGTACATAATTTTATTAAAACCAGTTAAACTGTTTAAGAGATAGATTAGCGTGTGTGTTCACGCTGCTCACGTGACACGAGGTCTTTATCACATTAAAACAATTGTAAATGTTAGAAAACAAAAAAAAAAAATAGATCGATATTTTTTAATTGCGAGAATCGAAACGCACGTTGTTACTTAATCCAAGTTTAACTTTAAATTCGAGCGGCGCTTCTCGTTTATCACAGTCAATGACTCAAATTTGATAACGATACAGGATTTGACACCCCGACATAATGACCTATCGTGACACGGATCGCACAAACAAATATAGGTAGGTAGGTACTATAATAGCATCCTATTACACTCGTATAAAATAAGGTTACGCCATATCTCGGAGCCTGAACTCTTCTCCTGGCGTCTAATAAATTTTATCGGCCCTCCAATAAAACCAAACTAAGTTATGTCTCACTTGACTGCTGTATCTGATTTATATAGGGTACACGTATGATTGTTTCGTACATTATTAACAAGTTAACGAGGTTCACGATAGCGAAGGACTCTAAACATGTTGGTTTATCTAAGACAGACGAGACAAATTAGGTAGGTTATCACGATGCAGTCTGATCACCGAGCGAGTATGACTACATTAGAAGTAATAGTACCAACATAACTAGACTGGGGGGAAAGGGATTGTTAGCAATGGAGACTAAGAATCCCATTACTAGCAATATACCCAACCAGGTTGACCTCCTCGCGATTCCCCCTGGAAACTATCATGGTTAATTCCTGATGAATTTATCATAATGGGCTAACTGGCCTGTTTTCATTCTTATCGATCACCCTTCATTGGTGCCCCGCCAGCGTATCCCGTTAGCGCAGGCGGGGTTACCATACCATTTTCACCCAACAAAAAAAAAACATAACTGGACTCTGCATTGTTGCAACACAAGAATAGGTAATTTAGGAAACATTATTTTCCACCAAACACATGAGTCATTCATATCATAAGTTTATATTTAAGCTGCATTAACGGGAAATAGATACAAAAGAGCACACAACCTTGGTCTCTCGATAACGACAGTGAAAATATTTTGATGCAACGATAATAATACTTTTGCTCATGTTTATTAATAAGAATAATATTTTATATATTAATTAAATTAATGGAAATATATACTCGTAATTAATATAATCATTAATACCATATTTAGATGAGTTTCAGTTAGCTAGTTTAGAGAAATTTGTTTAAACCACAGATTCTCCAAATTACAGTTTATTTAGTTGGCACTTCATTTATTTAAGTTGAAACATTTTTAAACATTTTTAAATACGCAGTAGAAACTAGTACACGAGCAAATTTTTAACATTTGGATATTTTTTTATTTATTGTTACAGTATAAAAGTAAGCAGTATTGTGATAGGATGGATTCTCATGGTTACTATCAAAATGATATTCTAGAATGCCATTTCGCCATTTTTTTATGGGTGAAAATAAAATGGTAACCCCACCTACATTATCAGTATACACTGGGGAGGTACTAGTAGAAGATAGCTGAGGATGAAAGTAGGTCAGTTGATCCATCGTAACGAATTCAAGAAGAATTAGTTAGTTTGGTTTTTAGGAGGAACCGCGTAGGGATCGGCCTGACAGGGTCATTGTTAGCAATGTCAGACCTTAATAATTACAGACTAACTTATCCTCCGAAAAACGTTGATTTTTTTTTATTTAGGTAGTAAACAAATGTACGATTGACTTAATGGTAAGCCGATACTGTAGCTTATGGGCGATAATACCTGAGGCATTACGTGCACGTTGCCAACCCTGAAGAAATCTCTTTACCCCTTTCTGGAAGAACCCCGTGCTCTTACAATTTTTTGCTTCAGCATTGTTTGCTTCAACTTCAGAGATATTCCAAGTTATTGAATATATTGAAATAAATAATATACTTAAAAGATTTCATGAAAGTCGGTTGAACGGTTTCGAAGATTATGAATGGCCTCTGTCCATGTAGCCACGGCTATTATTTTGGGTAGTAAAAAGCTTACGTTACATGAATCATAACACGTTTTGCTTTGCATAGCTCGCCATGTTTGTAAGATTCATGCGCTGATAGTTTCATACATAAGGCCGCACAAAATTTTTCTGTTTGAATTTCGAATGATATATTTTTTTATTTTTAACATAAAAATTATTATTATTAGTTATTTAAAAAAAAATGGCGGGGGAAAATGTGATAGTATTTGTTTTTATCACACATTTAATTTACCGTTCAAGTACCATGTTAGTACATGGACGAGTTATCTAAAGCAAATCGTATTGTGATTCGTGTTCAGCGGGGCCCTTAACCCCCTGGTCTTACTTTAGTGGTGATCATAGTGAGCGGGCCGGACGCGGCGGCGGCGGGGGGCGGGGAGGGCGCGGAGGGCGCGGAGGCGGAGGGGGAGGGGGGTCGCGCGCGCGCCGCGCAGGCCGTGCAGCACGGCGCGCGCCTGCGCAGGAAGCTGCAGCGCCGCCTCACCAGGCAGGCGCTGGCCGAGGCCAAGGCCATCAAGGAACAGATACACGTACTCGTCTACGTTGCTGAATTGGTGAGTACCTTACACATAGTTACTAGCTACTGTTTTACACTTGCATCCACCGGGGGGGAAGGGGTTGTTAGTAATGGGGTCGAATAGTCCCATTACTAGCAATATACCCTGTCAGATCAACCTCCACGTGGTTCCCCCTGGTAACCATATTGGATGAAAATGGAATGGTAACTCCGCCTGCGCTAACGGAATATGCTGGCGGGGCATCAGTGAAGGGTGATCAATGAGGATGAAAATAGGACAGTTAGCCCATCATGATGAATTCATCAGGAATTAATCATAATAGTTTCCAGGGGTCGACCTGGTTGGGTTTATTGCTAGCTATGAGATTCTTAGTCTCCATTACTAACAATCCCTTTCCTCCCAGTATATATGGATATTAGGTATATATGTAGGTGGTTCAAAAATACATTTTCATACTAAGTAGCTGTATAATTTTTTTAATATTTTTTAGGTTGCAACAGATCCAGCGCTAGCATGGAAGAAAGCCAAAGAACTGTATGCGTCGTTGAGCCAACCAGAGCCGGAGAACCAGGCGCGGCCGGCCACCCTCGAGGAATTGATGGTGTTGCTCGCGCGCGAAACCGCCAGAAAAGTAGTTCATCTTGTCAACTACACTCACACGGATTTGCCCAGGTTCGTAAAAAAAATCTAGCTTCGTAGCTACTAGTTTAGATTAGTTATTGATAATCTTTGCTCGTGAGATTATGTCCATCATCAATTGTCTGCGTGGATTTCTCTGTCTCAGCACAAATAGGTTTGCCAACTTCCGCACTCAAGTAGCTTGCTTTCAAGCTATTGTCCAGGGCGAAAGAAGAAATATAGCTGTGAAATTATTGGATATTGTGTCTCAGGATTTTCAGGTTTTTGGGGTCTGTAACGCATGCCTCTTACATTGGCTTCACTGCATGTATTTATATGCTTTTGCGAAGAGCAGAAAAAGAACCAAGAACCAACGAATAGAACTAGATAGAACTCTTGCAATCTATAGTGTAGGTAGAAATACAAAACTGTAATGTTAAGGATGCACCTCGATAAATGTATTTACATAAACATATTTACGTGATAACCTGGTGGAAACCTTTGAACTAGGTTTATTTGTGAATGATTATGCAAGAATATGGAATATTTACTGAACTATAATCGCCGTTGATAACTATGCAATCTTTATTCTAAATTCCAAAGTCTTCCTATTTATTGAATTAACTCTTTAGCCCTTGTTTGAGGACAATAATGTCATCTCCTCGAAAACAAAGGCGATATCTGTAATCTTTCGTGTGCATTTTGTAAATAATTGTATACCTGCATGTTAATTTTTGTTCGTTTGATCCATCAGGAATGTGCGACAGGGCCTGTCGGTGATCTCGAAGCACTTGTCCGCAACAGCAGACGCGGTCATAAAGGTAGGCTTTAAATATCATTTAGATGTAATATTAGGTATATCGTACCGATAAAAACACACAAATCTTTTCATTTTTCATTTCTTTTTTGAAGGTTTCATTTTGATTAAAATAAAATATGTTATAATTATTATCGTAGCACGATACGAAATGGCACACTATAGTTCTAGCTTCTTAAAGAAGAAGAACGACTCTTAAAAATGTCTGTGGATAGCTAATGGTTCCGCTCGCACCATGGGGCGAGTACCAGACAATTCTGAGGTGGGCATTGGTCATCCTGGCACTCCCTTAAGCCTTTGAAAGCAAAACATGCAATCGTGTGGAGACACTTTTAATTCTTGGTAATGACACGATATGCATTACAATACTGTGGTCGTAAACGTGCATGAAAATTTTAAAACAACTTCATATAATGGCATTACTTTTCCTTCCTTATGTGCTGTAGATAGATTCTAAATGTTATTATGATTGTGAGGGAAGACAGTCTTATGCTACGTCACAGGGTTGCAATGCACATACCATCTGCTACATAGAGGCGAGCGTAACATTTTTAATTCTTATTTTAAGAAATTCTTTATCTATGTATTTTACCTTTACCTATAGGGTTAGATCACATTTGTCATTTTTGGTTGTGTGTGTTTTTTTTTTAAATTCACCCTGTCTTTGTATATTACATGCATTATTATGTCTTAGGGTATCCCGCGTTTTGAGTAACCTATAGTAATTTGGCCTAGGATATACAGTAGTTAGTTAATTTCAAACTTTCGCGTTATTCACACATATTGTGTAAACAACGCGAAAGTGTGTCCCGATAGTGTTAAATACACTATGTGTATAAAGCGATAAAAAAAAATTGCATTCCTGTCGTGACCACGACATGGTGTAATCTATTTACATGCAAAATATTTTGATACGTTTCACCAGATATATATAAACTATTATTATTATTATAAAAACGCCCAATGTGATATTACGTGCAGAGCGTGCCGGTGGAGAGTGCACTGGCGGAGGTCCGCGGCTTGCGCAGCAAACTGCAGGCGCTGCTGCAGCAGCTGCAGGCCGCCTCCAAGACTTACTTGGTGCGTATCACATACCACTACCGACAGCTCACTCCATTAACGTTTGCTCTTCAGTATTTTATTTCAGTATAATGACTCACTTAATTACCATTTATTCTTTTTAAGTTCTAAATTTTGCATGCCTAATTATGGCCATCTTAGTGGTATAAAAAAAAATGCATACAACAATTGATAATGACCCTATTTATAGGAACACTTGGCAATATTTCTGGCGGGGAACGAGGAGCGAGAGAAGATCACGCCGCGGTCCGCGTACAACCAGCGGGAAGACCTTGCCATCAACGGAGTCAACTGAATGCAGGTTGGCCCTTTTTCTAATATAGATATTAATCCTCGAATGCGCCATTGGAATCTAACGAAGGATAATTACTCATTATTCTTAGGAGTTTATATTATTTCAATAAATGACATTTTTTTTTATGTAGCTAACGAAGAATTATATACAGATTTAAATTTTTTTTTCTTGGAAAATTAAAACAAATTAATACATAACATGTACATAAAGTTGGTTTTGAAAAATAAATCGTTACAAAAATGTACTGACCGTATTCAAAAATATACTTGTAAAATTTTGGAATTATAATTTAATTATCTCATTAGAAAAAAAAACACCTATTTATGAAACAGCATGGACCATATTTTTTTCTTTTTCTAGTAACAAATAAGTTATTGTTAATTATTATTAAATAGCAACTATTTTATAAAATGTTTAGAGAGGTTAATTTGAGAAATATTTATAATAAGTATCTACGTACAAAGTTACCTATCTGTAATTAAATAAATTTAAATTAATCAAGTACCTACACAGACCCCCTTTACAACTTTAAGTTTTACTCACGTGAGTCCTTTACATGCATGTAAATATTATAAGTTAATTAATTTTAATGAACAATAAGTTACATTACAAGAAACTTCACTTTAACAAATTTGTCATAAATTAAATTAAGGCAGTCTGAATAAAATTATATATATATAGCCACTTCATTGAAATATACTGGAATATATTTCAAATCAATTAAATCCTTTATAAAATTTACTCGTGTAAGTGAATGTCGTTGGTTAACTAACCAATCGATACATTCACGACATGTTACATATAAGAATGTTTCCATTTGTAAATTCATTGTAAGTTATTTACGTAAGGTCGTGAGTAAAACATACCTAAATATAAAGGGTGGTCGCCTAGTCTTAAGTTTTTGTTATTTGCTTTTTCTGTTATATATGTTATAATATTGTTAAAGTAATCATTTTAATCTCAAAGGGTTATATTTTAAGTCTGTTTAAAATGACCTTAAGTTACTAATCATTAATTGATATTATTAAATTATTTTAATAGTGCCTATATTATTAGAATTTTCTACGTTTCATTAAGAGTGGAATTATATTTTCTCCATCGATCATTTATTTTTTTATTATGTACCTAATTATTTAATTATTGAATAAATAAAATTTAGACAGTATTACAAGTGTTTCTTTGTTCATTTTTTATTACATACATACCCGTCATCCATTAGGGTAGGCAGAAACAATGGAACGTCAAATGCTTCGATTTAAACAAACCTCTTTAGCTTTCTCCACATTCATCAATCTTTTCATACACGCTCGCCGGTTACGGGTACTTTCAATTTGGCCCTTCTTCAGCACGTCGCTCATTTGATCGACATACGACCGTCCAGGGCGGCCCCTACCGACATCTCTATTCATTCTTGCTTGGTAAATCCTTTTTGTAATTCTTCATTCTTTTCAGTAAGGTTTTTATACTATGTCATGTTATTGACTTTTTATATTGTAGGCAGTACCGACCTTAAGGGATAGCACAGTCGGTGGCGCCCCGGGGATGTTTTTTTTAATGGATGAATATGAGATAGTGCGTCTGCGCTATCGGTGAATTTACTGGCGTGAATTTACTGGGTAAAGAGGAATAACACCTAAGTCCTCAGGAATGGCAACGCATCCCTATGCGTTATCATGGGCGAAACAGTATACTCTGTTATGTCCATGGTACTGCTCATGTCTATAGGCGACGGTTACCACTTTCCATCAGGTGGGCCGTCAGCTTGTTTTCCATTCTAAGTTGTATAAAAAAAAATCGGTATACGCTGGCGGGGCACCGATGATAGATGATAAGTGAAGATATAGACAGGTCAGTTTGTCCATGACGAATAACTCAACAAGAATTAACCACGACGGTTTCCGGGAGGAACTGCTTGAAAGTCGACCTTATAGTGTGTGTATATTACTAGCAATCCCTTTCCTCCCGGAATGGCGTAGATTTCTATGATAAGCAAAGCTAGCGTGTGCTCTATGTATAGCAACCCAATGTTGGTATTGTCAAATGTGACTGTAGACAGTAGTAAATAAAACCCACAGTGCAAGCTTAATTTAATTTGGTACAAGTTGGTGCTGTGGTCCATTCTACACCATGTATCCTGGTATAGAATTGGCCACCCCTTCCTTTCTCTTGGATGTCATAAGAGGCGACTAAGGGAACTTAATGGTCGAGGGATGGGCCGCAGCGTCCCTTATAAAATATCAGTAAAAGTTTTACTGCGCTTGCCAACCTGCCTACCAAGCTTGACAATTACTGGAAAACCTCACCTTATGGGGAAGACCTATGTTCAACAGTGGACAGTTCACGGCTGATATGATAATATAATTTAGCAATATTTCGGAACCGATACGGTATCTTAACATTCAAGAAAAGAGCGTATTCCTTTTTAAAAGGCCGGCAGCACACGTGCAACGCCGTTGGTGTTGTGGATAATCATGGGCGGCGGTAGTCACTTACCATCATGTGAGCCGTAAGGTCGTTTGCTCCCTGTGTTGTAAAAAAAATATGTCTAGTGGTATTTTTTTTTATATTACATCTAGTTTTCTGTCTTCTTCTAGTCTTAATTTGGAAATGGACAGATTTAGCGCAACATATCCGATATAGTCAGAAAGAAAGTCGGATAATCTCCTACATTTTATATTTGCTTGCATTTTATCAGCAATGCACTGCCATGAAGAGACTTCACCACCTTTAAAATGTTCCAAAATATAATTGTGAGAAGTTATACTCCTAGATATTCAGTAAATAAGGAAATATTTTTGAAATCTTACGAGAACAAGAGATAATGGAATTCGAACAGCGCGAGCGAAATAGTCTAAAACTATTTGCCCTGTTTGAATAATATGTATCAGTTTAAAATTTACAACTACATTTTGTTCTACAAAAAAAAAGAACATTGTTCTTTATTTCTTAAATCGTTTCGAGACATCGTCGTTAAAAATTGCGTTAAGTCGTGAAATCACAATACCTCATATATCATACGTATCGAATTTAAATAAGTCGATTATAAATAAGATTGTGCCAAAAACAAAACCGACTCAATTATGGTAAAACCAGCTATTTTGATTTAAAGACTGAATTACTGAAACGATTTTGATAAAACTTCCATAGGATCAATCTGAAAGGACATCTTAGATAATAAAGATATCTCTTAGATAAAAAAAAATCCAAATCGCCTTATAAATAAACGAGTTATGAGATAATAAACATAAAAAAGTGCAACCGCAATGAAAACCTTCTCCCTTCTTTGAAAGCGCTAAAAAAATTTTCAAAACCTCTTTATCGTCATATTATTTTTTACTGGAGCTCTGTCTTCTGGTTAACTTCATTATGACGTAATAACATGTCAAATGTTTTGATGATGAATTTTAAATTGTTCACGTAAAAATAAATTAATGTTTCAGACAATTGTAGAATAACAAAATTTTAGTAGTTAGAATTCTCTAACATTTCATAATTTGGCAATGACAGATCCTACACAGCTTTTAAAGGAGACCTCGTCACACTCATATTATGTAAGTTGAAAAAAAATATTAATATGTTGCATCTCTTTCGCACTTAATGTACCACAGTATTATATCTGTGAGTTACGATGATACTTTTCAAAAACTTCTATATGTATTAAATTTTATAATTTTTTTGGTCCTTTTCTAAATGAAATTAAAATGTTCCATTCAAATTTCATGCTTTTAAAAATCTTGATCCAGACAGTGGGCTATCTAATGTCTCTTAGGTTTAACTATGTACCCAGATTATTTAAATAAAACTAACTCCTTTATTCTTAAAAACGTTAAAGGTTTCATGATTGTAATTTAGCTATTAAAGTATTTTATTTGTAAAAATAGGACCGCAGGTATTGTTTTAAATCTATATTTTTTTTTTGGACTATTTTAATTTGAAAGAAAATGACAAAAAACTCTAAAATGAGATTGTAGATATTAGATAAGTTTTATAAATAAGAGGGAAGGAGGGTATGTGGATAAATCTTTAATATTTTTTTTAGTTAAATCTCATTTTAGGTTGGAAGTAATTATTCCGAAGAGTTGGGGCTACCTCGACGGGGGACCAGCAATGAGGGACGCGTGAAAACTACGATTTGGCTCATGGTGTTAGCGTTACTGTTGTGGTTTATGACTTACTTGATAACGATCATAATTACCATGTACTACGATTACGGCCTGCGTACAGTGGTGACACTGACTAGCTTGTCGTACTGGTCTAATAATACTGCGCTCATTGATGAAGAGGAAAATACTAAGTACTTTATCACATATTAAACCTTACTCAGAAATGTTTTTTTTTTATTTATTTTCCTAGATTCTTAATCTATTGTTTTTAAATAAGAAAGACTAGTAGTGGATGACAATCGTTGTATATACCTAAAACATAAATAGCAACAACACAGAATATACTATGATGGCTATAATAGTTACTTTCAATACAATTGCTTAGAAATACTTAGAATGTTATTATTATCTTGTTAGTACTACTACGTTAACTAGTAGTAAAGACTTGTTACTATGTTACTTGGTACTATGGTTAGACAACAGGGTTCTTTTCTTGTTCGGACCCATGAAGCTAAGTCTTTGCAAAAATTTCTCGCATACATCATGGATGATTGCTATTTGCTAAACAAACATTACACAACACAATTGCTTTTTAATTATTAAATGCATTTTACCTTAATAAATAGCATCATTTGCGATCTATCGTGCAATATTTAAACTTATTTTTATTAACTTTTATTTTTATGACTTTAAAGAGCTAGTACTCAAGGCCGTAATAAATATTAAAAGAAACATAAAATATGTCAATCCGTCAATCTCAGGGAGCTAACTGTCAAGGACATTTGTCGAAAAAGGCGGGAAACTCGAATAAGAACAAGCGGGTTTTTTAAATTTTTTTTTATTAATTTATTAAAACTATCTCTATCAATTCTTATTATTGAATAAAATATTATATTTTCACTAAATTCAGCGACAGTAATATAATTAGCATTCATGGGGAAGCGCAGTTGTAGAAAAAGGAAAAAAAAAGATGACGATTCAGGTGATGTAGACCATGAACCTTGTAATGACAAGGATATATATTCGGAAGATACTTCTACTGACTCAGAATCTGAAATTGATAAGGCCGATAAGTATAAACCTTACTACGTCACAGATTATATTAGAAGATATCCCGAGAAATCCCCTGGGACAGAATTTGTTGTCTTTGTAGAATCCTCAGATAGTCAGAAAACCATTGGATCCAGAGACTTGCTCTCACTCTCCTCCTGTTTAAAACGATTTAATAAAGGGGTAACTTATCTTAGATCTATAAATAAATTCAAAATCGGAGTATACTTTCAAAAGCCAGACTTAGCCAATGCTTTTTTAAATAATAAAACTTTTTTAAATGACTACCATTTTAAGGCCAGTATTCCTGCTTCTTCAACAGAAGTTACAGGCGTTATTAGAAATGTACCTACAAATATATCTAATAAAAAAATATATACTATGATATCGAGTTCTAAGAAAATTATTGCTATTAAAAGAATTTTAAGAAAAAATACCTTGACTCATGGATATGTGTTACAGCCAACTCTAACCGTGACAATTACTTTTGCTGCATCTGTATTACCTGAATATCTGGATATTGGAGGTTGGCGCCACAATGTCACTCCATATATACCACCAGTTAAACAATGCTACCGGTGCTTGAGGTATGGACATTTAGCTAAATTCTGTAAGAATTCTGAGCGTTGCAGCATCTGCAAAGGTGAGCATAATTATAAAACTTGTACAACTGGAATGGAAAACGCTATTTGTGTACACTGCAATGGAAATCACACAAGTGTATCACCGCAATGCCCTGTTAAACAAAAGAAAATTGCTGAAAATAGATCTAAATTCAGACCTGCTTCTTTTGGAGATATACTTAGCACTGAAATATTTCCTAAACTGGGTAACAAACCTAAAAAAAATGTAGACCTAATTTCAATTCTAAATTCTGATAACAAGAGTTTATCACTTTTAATAGAAAGCATAATCAAACTTATTTCACTACATAACACAAAGAACACATCTATTAACACTAAAAGTGTTTTGAATGTGTTATATGATACTTTTGGTAATAGACCTATTTCACAAAATTCAATCGAGACCAATTAACTATCATACAGTGGAACGCTCAGAGCCTACTGAGCAATCGACATATTTTTACACAATTTTTAAATGAACATCATATTCACATTGCTCTCATCTCAGAAACTTGGCTAAAACCACATTACAAATTAAAAATTAAAGATTATTGTATAGAACGAAATGATTGTGGTAATAACCACAATGGAGTAGCGATTATTATACATAATAGTATTAGATATAAAAAACTTCACTCTTTTTTCGACAATTCTTTGCAAACTATAGCTATTAGTATTGAAGTTAATAATTCTTGGTATTCAGTTGCCAGTATTTACTGTCCTACCAATAGTACACCTAGTTTTACTAAAGCCAAATTTAAGTTCTTTTTGGAGTCTCTTCCTAAACCCACTATCATATCTGGAGATTTAAATGCACATCATACTATGTGGGGTTGTACCTCCACTAATACAAGAGGTAAAGACATTCTTGATTGTTTAGATGGATGTAATTTGGTACTATTAAATGATAAGCAAGTTACTACTGTTGGCTCTCATATTTGGAGACCCAATGGCCTTGATTTAACTATGGTATCCCCATCCATATCATTAAAATGCGAGTGGTCGGTTCATGATGATCCGTTAGGAAGTTATCACCTGCCGACTTTTACTAAAATAAACACAAAGAACTCTTCATCAACTCCGTCAGGTGAACTACATGCTCCTATAGATGAAGTTAATAAACTTTTGTTAAATCGTATAAACCTACGTCTCGTTAATTGGGATCTTTATTCTGAAACTGTTAATCAATTACTTTTGGATTTCGAGTATGATGTCAATGAACCCTTAAACAATTACAATAGATTCTGTAAAATTATTTTGACAGCTGTGGAACGTTCCGTTCCACGTAGGAACTTATCAAATAGCGGTGCAAATACTTCAAAGAGGCACAAACATATTGCAGTACCTTGGTGGAATAACAGGTGTGCGACAGCTGTCAATGATAGTAAAGCGGCTTACCTTAGGTTTAAACAAAATCCAACTCTCGATAATTACATAAATTTTAAAAGAGTTCAAGCTGTTAAAAAGTTAGTAATTAAGCAAGTAAGACAACAGGGGTGGCAGGAATTTTGTTCCAAATTTAATAGATTAACACCAATTTCCACTGTTTGGCAAAATATGAGAAAACTAAATTCAAAACATCGTCAAAATCATTTTAAAGATATATCATGGGTCAATGATTTTTTACGCAAATATACTCCTGATTTTGTACACTCACCTTTTGATGACAAACAGTTTAATTCTGTTAATTCATGCCCAAAATTTCTCACTGACCCATTCTCAATTGATGAAATATCCAGTGCAGTAAAATCTAGAAAAGATACAGCTAGTGGCCTTGATCGCTTAACATACAATATGTTTCGATTGCTGAATAAAATAAACCTTACTAAACTCTTACAAATTTTTAACGATTTATGGAAGGACTGTATTATCCCACCAGAATGGAAAGTGGATTGTTTGATTCCAGTAATTAAACCCGGTAAAGATCCTACAAATTTCGACTCCTATAGACCTATAACATTGACGTCCTGTGCAGGCAAATTATTCAAACAATTAATTAAACAGCGTTTAGAGTTCTTTATTGAAAGTAATAGTATATTACCATCGAATCAATTTGGTTTTCGCCGTGGATATTCAGCGCGCGAAAGTTTAGCGAACTTCTATGTCGACCTTAGTACTGCTTTGAATAACGATGAATATGTTCTATCTGTTTTTTTAGATGTCGTAGGAGCTTTTAACAATGTAAATTTAACAGTTCTATCTTCGATTTTATCCTCATTTCTTCCAATGAAACTTATCGAATGGATTTATAATTTTCTTAGTAATAGAGAAGTGTATGTTAAAGTAAATAGTAAATTAATAGGACCTAGGTTAAGCTCTAAAGGAGTATGTCAAGGTGGTATTCTAAGCCCGCTACTATATATTTTATATATCTATAAACTTAATTCAATTTTAGGAAACAGTGTGAACAACTTGCAATTTGCCGATGATTTATTAATTTATATAAAAGGAAAGAATATTATTGATATGCAATTAGTGTTAAATGAGTCATTAAAAAGACTTGAGAAATATTTTTCTCTTCTTTCCCTCGATATTAGTTTAACCAAAAGTAAAGTAGTTGTTTTTCATCAAGTTCATAAATATGTTCCATTAATGAATATTATATATAATAATCAAACTCTTCCAACAGACTGTAGCGTTAAATTTCTGGGGGTAATTTTTCATCAAAATTTAAAATGGGATCTATACGTTGATTGCTTAGTAGATCGTGCTTTAAGAGCCACTAATATAATAAGATCTGTAATTGGTCGTAACTGGGGAGCTGATCCTAAAATTATCCTTTTACTTTACAAATCTCTTGTTAGAAGTAATTTTGATTACGCTTTCTTTTGTTATGCCTCAGAACATAAATTAGTAGAAAAACTCGAAAAAATTCAAAATATGAATTTAAGACTTATTTTAGGTGCTATGTATACTTCTCCAATTATCTCAATGCAAGTAGAATGTAATTTGCCTCCTATCCTTCTTCGTTTCGAATATCTAAAACTCAAATTTCTCTTCAAAGTTTTTTCAGTTTCCAATAACCCACTCATACTCAAATTATTAAATTGCCCCATTTCTATGTTTTTGAATAAAACTATTGTCAATGATTTGAATTTACGAGATGAATATAACATCTATAGTAGTAAGATACTTCCTTGTTATAATGGCCTTTATGAGAGTAAGTTCTGTAAGATCAAAATTGTTATACGTAAAGACATAAAAGAAAAGCACGATATGTATGAGACTTTATCAGAATTTATTGACTACAGGCAGATATATACAGATGGTTCCAAAAATGCACTTAGCACTTCAGTGGCTTTTTACGATTTGTCAAATAGATTTGGTCACGGTTATAAAATTTCAACTTTGGCTAGTATTTACACAGCAGAAGCAAAAGCTATATTTTTAGCATTAGAATACATAGAAAAACAGGTACTATATTCGAAATGGATTATAATTACAGATAGTATGAGTGTTCTTATGGCATTAAAAAATAACACATTCATTTCATCATCAAACTACTTAATTCAAGAAATTCGTAATAAATATTATCATCTCTGTACTATATATGGAAAAGATATTATCTTCATCTGGACCCCTTCACATATTGGAGTGTTTGGGAATGAACAAGTAGACACTTTGGCTAAAATTATTAATTCAAGTGCTGCTCGTGTTCAAGATTTACCCCTTTGTTACTCAGATTGTAGTATTGGAATACATAAAATCGTTACAACTAAATGGGAGGAGCATTGGACTCAAATATTACAGACTAAAGGCAAATGGTACCGCAAAATTAATTGGCGTATTGGAAAACCGTGGTTCTGCAAAGGAAAGGACACAAACAGAAAATTTTACACCAATATTTGTAGATTACGAATCGGCCACGGACTTTTCAACGAACACCTGCACCGAATGGGCATGATCGCTTCCCCATCATGCACATGGTGTAACTCAAATACAGCCCAATCTCTACATCACCTTTTTTTTAATTGCTCTGAATTTGTCATTCAAAGACACACTATGTTTGACGAACTTAGGATTATCTTCAAAAAACCCGAAAATATCCCGCACTCAATCCCGCTTCTCTTAAGATTTCCTTCTTGTTTCAAAGCTATTTTCACTTATATTACTACAACATTCAAGGAGCTATAAGAATACTTTTATTGAATTGCAAGACAATGATTTTTTATAATTATTTATTTTTAATTTGATAAATCCACTGGTTTAAGAAAACTCAAGAAAAGATATTTATGAAAATGTACTTACCGGATTTGACAAATGAAATATTGAAGATTACGACAATAATTGAAGCGACATTAGAAAAATAAAATTCCAGACAAATTATCTTTTTGAAGACTAGGCAGCATGGTCTCCGACCTTAGCCTGTTCCAAACGGAACAAACGTACTAAAAAAAAAAAAAACTAACTGTCAATTCTACATTGTGGCTAATGGCTTGATCAGTGTTAATTTTAGCTTGTTGTTCATTAAATTTGTCAATCATTTGTTTTTTGGGACGTGTTTAGTTAAATATAAAATATGTTTTAATTGAAACTTCTCAATTTGTGAATTATATTCCGAAATTATACTGTAAAAGGCCAAAATGCCTTCAATAGATGTTATGGGCCCTCCGGGGCAGCAACTGGAGGGTCCACCTGAAGAGCCCCAAGCACCTCCACCGCCAGTAATTGGCATTATTTATCCACCTCCAGAAGTCAGGAGTATCCTTTATATAGTAGTAAATAAACAACATATATAGGTATAACATTTATTATTTTGCGTATTGATTAAAAATATGTTTCATGTGATTTTTACTATTTTTTTTTTGTTTTGAAATATATTACAGTTTAATTAAGTTGCTTTAGTTACATTAGAATGTAAAGCGTAAGACCCTATCAATATACATGTCCTAACCTGAAATAGTTGGTAATAAAACAATATAATATTTCGTGTATTTTGATCCTAAAAATATTGTAAAAATCAACTACACAAAACACACTACATGCATTCCAGTGAAGTAAAACTTAATAAGCTAAAACCCCTCTGGCTTAACACATTGGTCTATTCAATGCTAGTCAGGTAACCTTAAAATCAAATATGTATTTAAAGCCAACATAAATATTACAATACAGTAGAAAGATAGTAGTTATTAGTAAAAATGTTTTCTTCAGTGGTGATGAAAGGCTCATTTCCTTTGCAACTGAGGACCTTACAATGTCTCCATCAATATCTGTTCACGGCCGAGTGAGAGCATTCCTCAAAGGATTGCTGTGTGGCTCTTTTTATGAGCTCAGTTTATTGGGTTGGTTGGTGGTCTACCTAAAAATGTTTGCCTTGTACTGAGCCTTGAAGAATTTGCATTTGTATAGTTGACAATAGTCTGTCTCTAATTTTCAGTTTAACAATAATCAAACCTTTTATTGTAGCTATAATTTATATTTGTAAATCACAGTGTCTTGGCAATCTCTTATGGACTCCCGCGATACAGGTTCGCCTAGTGCGGGGTCCAATGTACTCGCTGTTGTAAATTTTTTGTATTTAATAAATATATAAAATAAAAAAAAATCGTCAATTGTTGGTAATTTTTACACATAAGGTATATAAGTAGGTTCATTCTATGATGCAGATGGCAAATCTGATACAACTGTCTGTATTTATTTTTTTTATTATTCAAATTATTGTATTATTGAAAACTTTTATTGTATTAATATTATCATCTATAGATTATTGTATCTAAAGATCAGAGTCAAAATTATTTCTAATATTTATATGTAGATTCTATATTATGTAATTTTGATGTAATACCAGAGGAGACTTTGTACAGAAGTCGATTGCTTGGGTACCTCTATCTCATTCGTGTTTCAACCGTAAAGCAGTTGTGTTTGCATGACTGTGTTTCAGTTTGAAGGGTGGGATATAGCGTGAATTTACAGGGCACAGAGGAATAACACCTGAGTCCTCAAGAATGGCAGCACATTGGGGGTATCATGGGCGAAACAGTATACTCTGTTATGGTACTGCTCATTGTCAATAAGCGTTGGTTACCACTTTCCATCAGGTGGGCCATCAGCTTGTTTGCCATTCTAAGTTGTATAAAAAAAAAATACAATATCATCATCATCTTTCTACCCTTATCCCAATTAATATTTGAGTCAGCCTAATATGGTTTTATCCATATTACTAAAGGATTGGTGACTTTGGTACAATATAAATTGTATTTATTATGTCTTAGTTGACAATTTTGATTCCATAATGGCAAATATTTTTAATCATATGTATTTTGCAATTTCTTTAACTACATTTCTCAGATATTGTTGACAAAACCGCTAGTTTCGTTGCCCGCAACGGTCCTGAGTTTGAAGCTCGTATCAGGCAGAATGAGCTTGGCAACCCTAAGTTTAACTTCCTCAACTCTGGTGACCCGTATCATGCTTATTATCAGCATAAGGTCAAGGAGATTCGGGAAGGAAAAGGTGATGTTTTTTATAATTTTTCATATATGCATATATATACTTTTTTATGCTTTATTCTCAGCAATTAATGCTGAGAATTCAGATGAATTCTCAGCAGTAGAGAGTTTAGTAGTTTGTTTTAAATCTTCTTTGTATAATTTTTTTATTGATGAAATAAATCAAATATATGTGTTATAACACTTTATGTGTTAATGAATTTTCATTTATCAAGTATTAATGTCAAAGAAACTGAACTATGGAATATATTTGAATTAATTTATTAACATGTTAAAAATAGTATATTTTAAGAATTGCTTGAAAATGAATGAAGTTTATCCCCTAGCACTTTAAAGATCATCACATTTAAATAATGCAGTTAATTTATTCAAACAGGAAATGATGTATCAGCTGCTCCTGCAGCTCCTGTTCTCCAAAGGCCAGGTCTTGCACCCGCCACTGCTGCTCGCCAGCAGGAACTCCTCAAAGCTGCAGTCCCTGTTGAACCTCCACCACCTCGTGACCCGCCACCAGATTTTGAGTTCATCGCTGATCCCCCGTCCATTTCCGCGCTTGAATTGGATATCGTTAAATTGACAGCACAGTTTGTAGCTAGAAATGGCAGACAGTTCCTCACAGATTTAATGAAGAAAGAGGAAAGGAACCATCAATTTGACTTTCTTCGCCCACAGCACTCCCTCTTCCAGTACTTTACGCGGCTTTTAGAACAATACACCAAGGTTTTATTGCCGCCCAAGGAGCTGGTTGTAAAATTATCTGCAGAAGTCAGAAGCGGTGTGCTGGAGCAGGCTCGCAGTCGTGCTGCATGGCATTCGTACCAGGCTCGACGCAAGGTGGCAGACGAGGCTAGAATAGAGAAAGAGCGACTTGCGTACGCTTCCATCGATTGGCACGATTTTGTCGTCGTCGAAACGGTTGATTACCCAGCGGGGGAACCTGGCGACTTCCCTCCGCCAACCACTCCGCTAGAGGTGGGCGCACGGGTACTGGCACAGGAACGAGGAGAGGACATAAATCAGGGCCAGGATGATGATGATACTGAGATGCAGCTGGAATCAGAATCGGAATCCGAATCTGATGATGACTTGGCCGAAATGGAGGATCGGACACAGCAACAACAGCGGCCAGATGATAACCGCGTACAAGATATGGAAGAAGACAGCTCCTCTTCAGAGGACGAGGGTCCTCCAGAGCCGCCCGCGAGACAAGCTGGAGAAGAGGCGCCGTTGCCGCCACGTCCGGACCGTGTCGTGGTCAAGAAATATGATCCGAAACGCTCCAGGCCACAGCCGACGCCCGCAAGCGAGGAATGGCTCGTGTCACCCATCACTGGGGAGAAGATTCCCGCTAATAAAGTGGCAGACCACGTGCGTATCGGTCTGCTGGACCCGCGCTGGCTGGAGCAGCGCGACCGCGCCGCCGCCGAACGCACCGACAGGGATGAGGCGCTCGCGCCTGGTGCCGCCATCGAAGCGTCTCTTAAACAGGTAATTTTATTACCTAATATTGCACGCTAATGAAATCTTTACTAAACTGGACCGTATACCGTAACCGTGTCCCGGATAGTTTGGGTTCTGGGCCGTGACGTGTCCCGAAGTAGTTTATATATAATTACATAGTGCATCACCTATATCGATAGAATATATTGTTCCTATGAGCGTATTTGGTGGGGATATCAAATACGCTCTTGTTCTGATGAAGAATTTTCACAAATATAAACGTCAATTAAGTCATCAATGTTGGGTTGCCTATAAACATACGCCCACTTTGAACAACAATGAAACTGTTTTTCCGTGACTGTACTCTTGAACCCCTAACCGTTAGTATGCTATTCATCAATGGACGCACTATGGCCCAAATTGGGATACGGTTTTTTGGTATACCATGAAGCAGTTGTGTTGCAAACACAACTGTTTCATGGTATACTTTGTACAAAAGTCAATTGCTTAAGTACCTCTGTCCCATTCGTGTTTCAACCGTGACACAGCTGTGTTTGCATGGCTGTGTTTCGGTTTGAAGGGTGGGATATGGCGTGAATTTACAGGGTACAGAGGAATAACACCTGAGTCCTCAGGAATGGCAACGCATGGGGGGTATCATGGACGAATCAGTATACTCTGTTATGTCCATGGTCTGCTCATGTCTATAGGCGACGGTTACCACTTTCCATCAGGTGGACCGTCAGCTTGTTTGCCATTCTAAGTTGTATAAAAAAAAATACATATACTATATGGATTGGAGAAGGATATATGCTACTAATTTAAATGTATCCCGGTAAAAGGTAGTTCTAAATCATTTATTACGGATGAACATAAATGAATATTCCTATTACAGCTGGCAGAACGCCGTACCGATATCTTCGGTGTGGGCGACGAGGAGACGACGATCGGTAAGAAGATCGGCGAGGAGGAGAAGCGGCGCGACGACCGCGTCACGTGGGACGGACACACGTCCAGCGTGGAGGCCGCCACGCGGGCTGCGCGCGCGCACATCACGCTCGAGGACCAAATACAACAGATACACAAGGTATCCGTATTGTAATACGTAGAATTTAATTCTCTGTTTGACTCGATTAACTGTCATAAAAAGAAAATATATTCCAAAATTAATTTGTCAAAGTTAATTACAATTTTTAAGTCAAAATGAACAAAGAATAATGTTTGAAAAAATATCATGTGAACGTGAAAAAGACTCTATTTTCCGCGCTTAGCCTCTCATTTGGGCCGTTGTGCGTATGAGTCGTGGCTAGTACAATCAACCTAGCTTCGCCCAGAAGCGCAGAAGCTTCCTAGGATCTTCACAGGCCTCACGGAGCGACCTCACCGTTCCGAGGATAAATATCATTTAAAAATAAAGTCTTTTATCTCTTTCTCTTATGACATGACATGTATCTGGTATGGTTGGCAATGATCAGACACTATTTTGTTAGGATGTTTTGTCGCGTTCTTTTTTATTAAAATTATGTTATATGTAGGTCAAAGGCCTGCTGCCAGACGAGGAGAAAGAGAAGATCGGTCCGAAGCCAGTGGCGGGCCCGGCGCGCGGCCGCGCCGCGCCGCCCGCGCCGCCGCCCGCGCCGCCCGCGCCGCCCGCCGCGCCGCCAGCGCCCGTGCTGCTGCAGCCGCTGCCGCCGCTCATGGTATATTATTTCTTTATTGACTTCTCATTTGTAATCTATCCGCCCATGATTTTAACCGCTAGAAGGTCAAATTCCAAGTTTAAATTAGTGTTTTAATTTAACAGAAACAATGCTGAAATCTGTTATCTTGGACAGCACCGACCCGTCTTCAGCTTGGGCCCAATACCGCTTTGCACCTAGTTCAATAAACAGTATGGATTACCTTTGTTTGCCGACACGGACACGTGTAACTAAATTTATTTAAAATGTGCAGGTGCTGCCGCCGCTGGCGCCGCGGCCGCCGCTGATCCCGACGCCGGCGTACGGGTTCCCGGCGGCGGCGGCGGTGGCGCCGCCCGCGGCCGACGAGGAGGACGCGCCGCCCGCCAAGCGCCTGCGCAGCGAGGACGCGCTCGAGCCCGAGGCCGCCTGGCTCGCGCGGCACCCCGCGCCCGCGCACCTGCAGGTACGGACACCAGCGCCGCCTACACCTCGGCCTCTATTTTGCACACCAAATGCTCAGCACATGCAGCTTTGTGATCTTTATTAATAATATTGTATATGTAAAAATAAGTTTGTTACTTTATATCGCTTTAACGGCTTATCCAATCACTATGGTTGGTATACTTTCATTCTGGTCGCGCGAACTAAGTTGCGATTAAAAGCTAGCACTAAATAAAATATAAATTATTCTCAGTAGCTTCAAATATATACCTCACCAAGATGTTCCTGAAGATGTCAGCATGAGGGTCCCTTAAGTAGGCCATATTGGGGTTTATTAAGAATTTTAGTAATTATTTACTGACATGTAAATAAAAAATATTTGATACACATGCAAATGTACAAAGTTCATCTACAAATTATATCACTAGGATACACATAATGTTTGTTTCATATGTCCGCGTACTAGGTGTCGCTGCCGTCGCTACCAGAGCGCGCGGATTGGCGGCTGGACGGGCGGCTGCTGCCGCTGAGCGTGCCGCTCGCCACCACCGTCGCCGAGCTCAAGAACATGCTACAGCGTTCCACCAACATGCCCACCGCCAAGCAGAAGTTACACTACGAGGTACAGTAAACGGAAAATCAGTTTTACGATCTTACACTACACATATTACGCGCACTATATATTGCTTTAAATAGGAGCGTGCATCTGCTACATATTTTACCTTATTATTAACGATAGCATCTATTATGTAGCATTCAGGCGGCAATCTCCATCAATCAATCAATCGGAAAGAAATAAATTTAAAAATAAAATAAAGACATATTTTTAGCAACATCTCTTTTACTACGTGATTGAATATCTAAATGCCAATACTAAATTATGACATTATTTGTTTATATTTTTCTCAAACATGCATGGAAATGTGAGCATTATTTTGACAATCTTCTTAAAGATAAATCAAAATTGCCGTACTGGCCAGATACATGCGGGCAGCGGCCGGCAAAAGTTGTATGAAAATCCATATCTGTCGTGTTTTGCGGCAAGATAAATTATTATGTAAACTCATATCTGTCCTGTAATTTAAAAATGGAATGACCTGTTACTTCGAAACATGGCTAAAATTTCGAACTGGCTTGCAAATAGGAAACTGTTTATTGAAAAAAAAAAACAAACGAACATTATGGCGCGTGAAAAATTATTATTGTTCGTTATTCGTCATTGAATTTAAAAAGTAAAATTGTGTTTTTGATTTCCGCGCATTGTTTGAGAAAAGTACTATACAAGCCTTGGCCACAAATAGGCATTGATGGACTCACGTATGTGTACCTCGGCTACGCCTCGGCCCACATTTGCACGTTCATCCTTCAATGCCTCAGTTGCTGGCCGCTGCAGTAATGTACTATAATTGTAATAAATGTGACAATTCAAATTTTATAACTTGTAGTCATCATTATTGGCATGTAGTTACCATTATATCGACATGGAGTAACTAATTTATAATGTTATTTTTATTTTAGACTTGTCATTGTGTGACGAAAACTGTTACATTCATTGGTTAATAAAGAAACCTTGGCCACAGCAGAATATCAGTGTTTTACTCTTTTAAGGGCAAAGCAATAAACTGAGCTGTGACCATTTTGTGTTACTATGGCACACGCATGAAGGAATGTTAACAAAGGAGATTGTTAGATTATGTATTTTGTTTTTGTATTTTTTTTTTATTTCTGCTTTTTTTATTTTTATTCTTTTGTCTCTTTTGCTGTGTATTACGTGTATGTTTTTTTTATTGTAATTTGTGTGCTGTAAGTAATGTAAATAAATTGTCTATCTATCTATCTATCTAAATATATATTGTTTGCTGTTATGTATACTTTTTTTCTGTTTTCCGTGATAAATAAGTACAAAGGAGATTAACCTGTAATCAAAATGACGTTTTCAGGGTCTATTCTTCAAGGACACGAACACACTGGCGTACTACAACGTGCCGCCCGGCGCCGTCATCCAGCTGCAAGTGAAGGAGCGCGGTGGTCGCAAGAAATAAATTGCAAATGTAATAGAATAGCTTCATTTGACATGTTCATATATGATTTTGACGAAATATATGCGGATATCCACTCTAGTTGTGATTTTATTTACAATAATAATGTATCAATTATGTGTTAGCACCTTATATGTTGAATCGTATTATAACGTCAAGTCCGTTGGGGTTGATACTGCCTATCTTTAGAAAACATACCTTTTCTTGGGAAATCGGTAGTCAGTGGCGTAACTATAAAATCTGAGGGTCGTGGCAAATTCATCGAATAGATTCAACTTATAGAATAATCAAGTTGCGTAGCGTTTCTTCATCTTAATAGTTTATATCTATAACTCATATATTTTATTGCGTTAATACGCTATTCTTAAATATTTCTTTTACTAATTTACTCTAATTTAATTATTTATTACCATCTTGTAAACTTAGCCTTATGATTATCATCTTTTCGGAGCAGTTACTAACAGACTCATGGATACTTATCAAATGGTCACAATTGCAAATTAAGTTTTATTAACTTAATATTTTTCACTGCAAGCTTTGTAGTCTATTTAAGGTTATAACTACTTATTTAGTGTGAACCACACTAAAAAATATTTCTTTTATATTATTTCTGCAAAAAAAAAAAATACTCCGTTTAGCAGGAATTATGAAAAGGACAATTAATTTTGTAAATAAAACAAAATATTTTTTTAGTTAACATTTTATAAAAACGTGTAAAATGTAAATAAAAAAGCTCTATTACATTAGTATATATATACGATTAAATGTATATAAGGCCTCTGCATTGGAATGTAATAAATCTAAATCTACATACAATATTGCACAAAAATTATTGCAAAAAAAGGAAAAGTTAATAACATAACAAAGGTAAATAAAGTAATAAATATCGTTATATGAAATTGTAGAGCAACTTTGGATCGAAAATATATTAATTGCGCGTATTTTAATTAAAAAAAAAAAAAATTAGTATAGCTACGTTTCATTTCACACGAATAAATGGATTGACTGAAGGCTACGTTGACAAAACAGAAATTACATTAAACTTACGAACTGTGATGAAAATCGCAGCAATATCGTAGTAAATACATTACAGGGATACATTTTATTCTTAAACAATGCTCATTTTAAAATTTGTTCAAACATGATATCATTACGTTTGCGTTTTACGCATATTAACGAGAGAAACCTAAAAAGGGGTCTTAGAAACATATTAGCAAATAACTTATGGATATATTCACACAATTACTTCAGGTGTATAACTACACTTTATAAACATTGTTATAAAATGAGCATGTTTTAAAAAAAAATTGAACATTTTCAGATCTATTTATATAGAATTTTCATACAATACATGTAATATATTGTTCACATTATATGCTTTTATACTTTTTAGTTCATTTAAAACTCAACAAGTTTGTAATTTAATTTTACATTCTTAACAATCTCAGATGTAATATTTTATAAGGTACAATTTAATCATCTAATAATCATTTTACATATATTTTAGTTCAATCAGATCTAATCGTTTCTTTTGAGCGAATTATATTTTGAACATATCGTCATTCGACTGTGACAATAATTGTATTTATTAAGCGGACGGGACATACATCATGCATCTATATAAACATTAACAATAATAAAATCAACACCAGCCTGCTCGTAATTCAGATAGTCGATGAACTAATGATAACAATCAACATGAGTTGGAATGAGATACCCGACGTTGCTATCTCATTTTACCTAATGGATTGGCCAGCGATGTCGATTCCATCGACGAATTCGCTTGCCACTTGCCTAGAGGGCGTGATAGATAAAACTTTAGTGTTGTTTACGAATATTTAAATTCACGATTGGGATTTAGCGTGGAGTGATTAATATATAATACACACTCCCAAAGTAGGATATCATGCCAATAATATTAAAATATGATAAGCATATTTTAAATTATTGTGCATTTGAAAAAAAAAAATAGAAACGAGTGGAGTTCATTCATGTGTATATACATATGTATGTATTATGTCCATCAACTATCTGCGAAAAAGGCCAAAAATAATTAAATATCCCTATATTAGTGGAATGTAAGATCACAACATGAGACACCTGTTTGCTTTACATATTTCGTAGTTTATGAGTGAAACCGTATTTTATACTTTTGAAAAGGAAAAAACGAAGTCATAACGCATTTGAGAGTTACAGCGCCATCTATAGTTTAAAAAAAAAACTTAAAATATTTTAGCGGTATATTAAATAAGACACCACGCCGGCATACACAGACCAACAGTGTAAGTTGGCTGCAAATCCAGCGACCCGGAGGTCGTCGCCTCCGGAGTAGAAGCCGGGGTAATGGGGTACGCCCCGAGGTCCTTACCTCGCCCGTCCACACATCATATGGCGGGCAAAGAGAAGCCCTTGATTGATATATTAACCCTTTGCACTCCGTCGTCGCCGTATTTGCGACATTAAAATACTAACATTAAATCCACTGTCGCGGCTACAGCGACACGCTTGTTTTACTGACTCAGCGCACTTAACACTTGGGTAAGCGAAATCCTCTCTGTTTATAATATGTTTATTTCGTTTACAGTATAATAAATTATTGATAAGTTAATAAGTTATTGGAATCCACTATGAATTACTAGGCTGGAGTGCAAAGGGTTAAATAAAATAATGCTACAATAAATTTTAGTGGTCATTTAAAATTATTATTCTACCTTAGATTTCAAAATTTTATTCCATTTATTTTCATACCATTTAAAATTAACATTTTCGTATATTTTCACTCATAAACGACGAAATAATGTCGCCGTTAATGTAATATATTCTATAATAATATATAAAAATAAACATCACATAATTACCTCATAACTTCTATAACAAACAAGCCAGTCTAATCCATACACAGGCCGGACGGACGGACGGACGGGCAGCAGTGTACCGTTATACTTTGTTAAGTAGCAAGTGCAGGTGTTAAGTGATTAGTAAAATCACTAAGTGACAAAATATCAAGTGTTGTGTCCAATCACCAAGTGTATACAAGTACCAAATATCTATTTTTTATTAAGTTTCATCTACACAGAATGAGTTAACAATCAACATCTTCTTTTTCTTCTATACAACTCAGAATGGCAAACAAGCTGACGGCCCACCTGATGGAAAGTGGTAATCGTCGCCTATAGACATGAGCAGTACCATGGACATAACAGAGTATACTGTTTCGCCCATGATACCCCCCATGCGTTGCCATTCCTGAGAACTCAGGTGTTATTCCTCTGTACCCAGTAAATTCACGTCATATCCCACCCTTCAAACCGAAACACAGCTATGCAAACACAACTGTTTTACGGTAGAAACACGAATGGGACAGAGGTACCCAAGCAATTGACTTTTGTACAAAGTCTCCCTCCTTCTTCTTTCTCTTGGCTATCATCTCCATTTATTTGGGGTTTCCAACCAATCAACAACAATAAAAAATCAACAGCACAAAAAGAAAATTTTATGTGACTTTGCACCTGTACTTGTTTACTTAATAAAGTGTAAATTAGTTATTGCAATCACATGTTTTTTTTTCAAATCATTATGAGACTGTTGCTTATGAAGTCGTTTAAATTTCAATTTAAAAGAACAATTTCCCTAAAAATGGTAACAAGATTCGTATTGTGTCAGATCAAAGTAGTTTAATAGAAGTTTCTGTTTATCATTCTAGTTAATGTTATAATTAAATTAATAAATTAATTAAGCTATTAATTTAAATTAACTATGAGTATATAAGTTAGACAACTTAACCCTTAAATACCTGAAGTTTCGAATTTGATACCGAAGTTTGCATTGTTTTATTGTTAAATAAATTTAAATATTTTAAATTTAAATACCGTAATGCCTAAAGTAGTAAAAAATGATACCAAATGTTTTTTCAAAATAAATATATAAAAATATCGTTTTGATTTTTTTTTTACTATTTTTCCCCATTAGTAAACACAGTAAAGGGTACACTTACATATTTTTTAATTAAAAAAATCAGGCTTTTAAGGGTTAATATATTTTCTTGGGCGCACCCATAAATAGTTCTTTATTGACTTGGCTTGCTTAAATACAATTATGTGGGAAGACATATGTGCAATATCAAAATACCATTAGAAATTTGCACAATGAGAAAAAACGCTCTGATCAATGGTAACACGTCTTGCATTACATAAAACTATATCTATGAAGCGTAAAAATGCAACACGGAAATGCTAGTGTTTTAAAATTATTTAAAGCGAGCTAGCGAGTGAAACTAGTGCTGTACCGAGTCGATTAAAATAGCACCTTTACTTGAATCAAATTATGATTCATTTAGTATAACCCGACAGATGAAAGTGTTAATATTATGTTTTTACAACGTGTTGTTTATTAAAGGCTACATGGGTATAGGAAATGAACCATAATATGATTGGCTTAGAGTGGGTATTTTAGTTCCCCGGATGCCAGCACATCACTCGAGTTTGGGAAAGGTTGCTATCATCTGCCTGTAGCGGGCCATCATAGGTTTGTATATCTGGTCGTGGTCTGGGTATGGAGTAGCCACCGGTGACACTGATGGCTCTGAACCTAGAAACGCAATAACGCTTTTTATAATATCTTCTATGTAGTCTTGTGTATTTTTTTTTGATGGGTGAAAATGGTATGGTAATCCCGCCCGCGCTGACAGGATACGCTGGCGGAGCACCAGTGAAGGGTGATAGATGAGAATGAAAACAGGCCAGTTAGCCCATCATGATGAATTCATCAGGAATTCACCATGATAGTTTCCAGGGGGAACCGCGAGGAGGTCGACCTGGTTGGGTATATTGCTAGCAATGGGATTCTCAGTTTCCATTACTAACAATCTCTTTCCCCCCTATAGGCGACGGTTACCACTTTCCGTCAGGTGGGCCGTCAGCTTGTTTGCCATTCTAAGTTACATAAAAACAATATAACGGATCATAACTGTATGGCTAAAACAATAATAAAAAAAAAATAATATTACGGAGCCATCTGGTCTCAAATTCAGCAAAATTAATAATTTTATAATAGAGGTTTGTTTGAATCGAAGCATTTGGCGTTCCATTGTTTCTGCCTACCCCAATGGGGGACAGGCGTGACAGATGTGTATGTAACATACACATATACGTAACGGTAAATATTGCTGAACAATTATAATTAAAATCTGCTACTGGTAATCACAAATATTTCGTAAAAAAAAAACATTCTTACCTGACAATTTGATGCCAGTGTCGGCGCTCCACACGTCCGCCGCCCGTATCGCCGCGCCGAGTAGCGCCGCGTTCGCGTGCTCGTTCTGAAATGTTTGGATTTCTAACTCAATCATGCTGGGGGGAAAGGGATTGTTAGTAATGGAGACTGAGAGTCCCATTGCTAGCAATATACCCAACCAGGTCGACCTCGTCGCGGTTCTCCCTGCAAACTATCACGATTAATTCCAGATGAATTCATCATGATGGGCTAACTGGCCTGTTTTCATTCTCATCGATCAACCTTCACTGGTGTCCCGCCAGCGTATCCCGTTAGCGCAGGCGGGGTACCATTTCATTTTCATAAAAAAAAAAAAACTCAATCATGCTTAAACAGCTCCATGGCAATTAAATGAATGATACATAGATACATCGTGATCTTAGATTAACACAGAATACTATTTTCCCATCGTAACAGAGGGAGACTTTATACAAAAGTACACCTAGGCACCTCTCTCTATGACTATATATATATATGACTTATTTACCAGAGGGAGACTTTGAACAAAAGTCGATTGCTTGGGTACCTCTGTCCTATTCGTGTTTCAACTGTGAAGCAGTTGTGTTTGCATGGCTATGTTTCGGTTTGAAGGGTGGGATATGGCATGAATTTACTGGGTACAGAGGAATAACATCTGAGTCCTCAGGAATGGCAACGCATGGGGGGTATCATGGGTGAAACAGTATACTCTGTTATGTCCATGTTACTGGTCATGTCTATGGGCGACTGTTACCACTTTCCATCAGGTCAGCTTGTTTGACATTCTAAGTCGCATAAAAAATACCGGGGCATTACCGCGGTATACAGTTATGTATGGTTAAAACAATAATAGTAAAAAATAAATCCATAATTTTGGACACATCGAATAATAATGCAACTTCTCGAATACATAGAAAAACATTCAGATCAATACGGACAGGATGAACGTAACAGACTACAAATGGGGGGAAAGGGATTGTTAGTAATGGAGACTGAGAATCCCATTGCTAGCAATATACCCAACCAGGTCGACCTCCTCGCGGTTCTCCCTGAAAACTATCATGGTTAATTCCTGATGAATTCATCATGATGGGCTAACTGGCCTGTTTTCATTCTCACCTATCACCCTTCACTGGTGTTCCGCCAGCGTATCCCGTTAGCGCAGGCGGGGTTACCATACCATTTTCACCCATTAAAAAAAAAAACACTACAAATGTCCTGTATAGTCTGGGAATCGAACACGCAATCGTCCAAAAGTAAGACAGTGTGTTAAACCGCTACCCCAAGATCTTTAAAGTACCGAGTCGATTTAAAAGCTAACCTGTACGTAAACAGGCGTGTTGAACACGTCCGCGAATATCTGCAGTAGTTCCTTGTTGACAGACGCGCCGCCGGTGGCCACCACGCGCGATGACGAATCTAATAAAAAAAAAATTGTTATCGATAAAATAAATATTTAAATTATTTATAATAGATAGATAGATATTCTTTATTATTGCCTCGAAAATATTACAATAGTAAGCTTAATATAAATATAAACAATTACGAGAAATGATCACAGTGAGAAAACAATGGACGGCCTTATCGTTAAGAGTGACCTCTTCTAGTTAACCTTTGGATGGAGAGGAGTAATTATAGATAATTTGATCGGAGGCACGATGAAAATTTCAATTATTTTTAAATATATATAAAGTTGTAATACAATTAATAATGTAAATATATATTTTTACTTATATATATATTTTTGTAATATTTTTCACCTCGTCTTGCTCACGTAATCCTGGAATGTGAGACTGTGGCCCATCAACGTTTAGAAATCCTCGGAACGGTGAGGTCGCTCCGTGAGGCCTGTGAAGAACCCAGGAAGCTTCTGCGCTTCTGGGCGGAGCTAGGTTGGTTGTACTAGCCACGACTCATACGCACAACGGCCCAAATGAGAGGCTAAGCGCGGAAAATAGAGTCTTTCACATTCACATTCACCTCGTCTCGGCATAGAATGGGCCACCCGTGGGTGTCGAAAGAGGCGACTAAGGGAGCTTACGATAGAGGAAAGGGAAGCAGCGTATTTCTTAAAACATCTCTAAAAGCATAACTGCGGTTGCCAACCCGCCTGTCTAGCGTGGCACCTACTGGCAAAACTCCCCTGATGGAGAAGTCTTATGTCCAGCAGTGGACAGTAAACGGCTGAAATAATAATAATACTTTTGCTTATATTATTTATCAGGAAGTATGTTTTTTAATGGATGTACATGGTATGGTAACCCTGTCTACGCTATGGGTATGCACTGGCAGGGTACCAGTGAGAAATTATAGGTGAGGATGAAAAGGCAGGTCAGTTAGCCCATCGTGACGAATTCAACGATAAATTAGTCACGATACTGTCCAGGGGAAACCGCGTGAAGGTCGAATTAATAGGGTATATTTTAAAAAATAAGTGAAAATGCTATGGTAACCTTACCTGTGCTATCGGTATACACTGGCGGGGCACCAGTGATAGATGTCTGATGAGGATGAAAGCAGGTCAGTCAGCTCTTCGTGACGAATTCAACTTGAATTAGTCACGATGGTTTCCAGGGGGGACCATGCGGAGGTCGACCTGACAGGGTATATTGCTATATTGCTAGCCCCATGGCTATTTGACCCCATTACTAACAATTCTTTTCCCCCCGATAGGATATTGATGGCATTGGGGACTAATTTTCCCATTACTAACAATCCTTTTCTCCCATCAGGACGTATATAGCAGTAGGATAGAGGCAGGGTAGTGGTAACAGCAGTGGACAGGGGGGAAAGGGATTATTAGTAATGAGGTCTAAAAGCTCTATTGATAGCAATATACCCTCTCAGGTCGACCTCCACGCGGTTCCCCCTGGAAACCATCATGTTTAATTCTTGTCGAATTCATCATAGTGGGCCAACTTGACTTGCATTCATTCTCACCTATCTTCCACTGGTGCCTCGTCGGTGTATATTGATAGCTAGGGTAGGGTTACCATTCCATTTTCATCTATTAAAAAAAAAAGCAGTGGTCAGTGGCAGGTACCGAGCGCGAGCCCCGCGTCGGCGGCGTGCAGGCGGCGGCCGAGCGCCTGTCCCTCGAGCAGCGCACGCGCCTCGTACGCGGCGCCCGGCAGCCGCGCCGCCCGTCCCGCCCGCCCCGCCGCGTCCTCCTCGTGCCGTCCCGCTCGCACGCGCGGCGTTATCTCCGCCGTGTCCAGGTAGATACCTGCCACACATACTCTGTGTCACTCGTCCGGGTAAGTACCACAAGTAATGTCATTCAAGGTTATCAATATAATTCACTCCGCATACCATATAAATAGATAGATAGTAGTGTTATTTAATAAATTACCTGTCCAGTTAAAAATCTACCAGTCTACCAGAGGGAGACTTTGTACAAAACTCGATTGCTTGGGTACCTCTGTCCCATTCGTGTTGCTACCGTGAAGCAGTTGTGTTTGCATGCCTGTGTTTCGGTTTGAAGGGTGGGATATGGCGTGAATTTACTGGGTATAGAGAAATAACATCTGAGTCCTCAGGAATGGCAACGCATGGGGGGTATCATGGGCGAAACAGTATGTGTGTGTACTGTTATGTCCATGGTACCGCTCATGTCTATAGGCGACGGTTACCACTTTCCATCAGATGGGCCGTCAGCTTGTTTGCCATTCTAAGTTGTGTAAAAAAAAATATTCAATGAAGACCTAAACTTGTATAAAATACACGTAAGAGAGGAACTTTTCGGAAAATCCCCATACTTAAAAATGGAACAATAATTTTTTTTTAAACTATGCGTTATATAATTTTCTTTTTGCAATGTCAGGTATTTTATTTTTTTATATTTATCATCTGCTCTCGTTTATTTAATGTGTAAATATAATGTAGGAACTTCACAAATATTTTATTATTTATGTATCACTTTTGGCCACAACAGAATATCAGTGTTTTGCTCTTTTTAGGGCAAAGCAAAAAGCCGAGTTGTGGCCATTTTGTATTACTGTGGCACACGCATGGAAAAAAAAATAGTTACTAATTTTATGCATTCTGATTTTGTTTGTTTTTTTTTTTATTTTTTGTACACGTATCTTTTTTTATCTTTTTTCACTTTGCATTTGTGTCTTTTGCTGTTTGTGTGCTGTAAGTGATGCAAATAAATTATTTATCTATTTATTTTAGGAATTGTACTGTTGCTTTATATGAATACTTGCAGAATACTCACTGCACTCACCCACTCACGCTGCACTCACCCATATAGCCCATGTTTCCACGGACAGTACTCCGGAGCAGGTCGTTGAAGGCGTCCCAGCTGGGCCCGGCGAGGCGGTCGCGGTGGTTCTGCCGCGTGAGGGAGCCGTTGGCGAAGCACAGCAGCGCCATGTACGGCGCCGCGGGCGTCGGCCCCACCAGCACGTGGCCCGCCGGCGGCGCCGCCGGCCGCGACAGCCCGCACAGCAGCGTGTCGCTGGTGCCCAGACTCAGGCCCACCCAGCCAGCGCGGAGCCGCAGTCCTGAAAAATTACTGTCCATTTTTTTTACCTCAAATTAACTGACCTAACAGACGTCATTAAGGGGGAGGGGATTGTTAGTAATGCGGACCACCAGTCCTATTGCTAGCAATATATCCTATTGGGGGGAAGGGATTGTTAATTATGGGGATTAGTAGTTCCATTGCTAGCAATATACTTCATCAGGTCGACATCCACGTGGTCCCTCCTGAAAACCATTGTGCTTAATTTCAGGTGTATTCATCACGGTGGGTTTAACTGAACTACCTTTTCAGTCTCACTTATCATCTCTCGCTGGTGTCCAGTCAGCATATACCGTTAGCGCAGGTGGGGTTACCATTCTATTACGATCCAATAAAAAATACACATCATTCTGTCAGAGATGGCAGCTAGGAACATTTTTTATAGACAAAAAAAAAAGGATATTTTTGCATTTTTCTTAGCTAATCTAATTTTTATCTATATCAAGAACTTTTCTTAGACTTCCACGGATAATTAAATTAAATACATATATTATGTATCAGCAAAGTCGTTAACCGATATCATTACTTTAAATTTAACCAGTGGTCAATTAATGGCTGAAATATATATATATATATATATATATATATATATATATATATATATATATATATATATACATAAATATTGTCTACTGGACTTTACAACTTTTGACGATAACAACCACAATACTTAGTTAAATAACTTTATCTTTACCACGAAACATTTTCATTTCGGACGGATGTTGATTGACGCAAAACCTATCGTTTAAAGCACTGGTTAAATTAAAGATGAAGGAGGACTTTTTATTTTAATGGGTAATAATGGAATGGTAATCCCACCCGCGCTAGTCAACATTTTATTGATGTATATATTTATGTATAAATTATTTATTCGTGATTCACTCTCTATCCCAAAAGGTTGACTGATAAAGAACGCTGCTAGTATTAAGTCCGCCTTTTGTACCATACTTTCTTTTGGTTTAGTTATTTAAATGTAAAATTGGTATAGTGTGTAAACTTTGTGTATCCACTAATTAATAGGAATTTTTTCATAACACTGAAACAAACAAGCATACGGCCCACCTGATGGTAAGTGGTTACCGTAGCCTATGAACAAAGAGTACATTATTTTACAATTACAACTAATACTAATCCTTAGTAGTATTATTACCACTATTCAGTATTGTACACTCATTCTGTTACACCGTTCACAAACATCCATACATAGATATCTTATCTGTAAAAGGCAATTTAATGTGGATTTGCCTACTTTAGAGACGTGATAACTCTCGCGGCTCGTATCAAATATCAATTTATATTACGCTTAAGTTTTCAACAACACACTTGTTTTATAATTATGTAACACTGCTTCCTTAACCCGGCTTCGCACGCATTATTTTTAATAAAAGATAACCCATAGTACTGGGGGGAGAAGGGATTGCTAATAATGGGGATTAGCAGCCCCATTGCTAGTGGGGGAGAAGGGATTGTTAGTAATGCGGATTATCAGTTCCATTGCTAATAATATACCCTAACAGGTCGACCTCCCCGTGGTCTCCCCTGGAAACCACCGTGCTGAATTCCAAGTGTATTCATCACGATGGGCTAACTGACCTGCCCTTTCATCCTCACCTATCATCTATCACTGGTGCCCCGCCAGCGTATACCGTTAGCGCAGGCGGGGTTACCATTCCATTATCATCCATTAAAAAAAACAGCCCCATTGCTAGCAATATACTATTAGGTCGACCTCCTCCTGGTTCTCCCTAGAAACCGCCGTGATTAATTTATTGTTAGATTCGTCACGACGGGCTTACTGACCTGCTTCACCGTCTGGGTACGTGCGTTCCAACCTAGACCTTATCATCATTTACCATCAGGTGAGGTAAGATCGAGCACAAACCCGCCTTGTAATAAAAAATCTCACCAGCGAGGGCCGAGTTATTGTCCCCGGTGAAGGCGACGACTCGACAGTCTGGTCGGAAGCCGTAGCGCTGCACGAAGTATGGCGATATGGTGCCGAGGACGCTGGCGGTCGGAACCGGACTGCCCAGCTTGCTTTCCAGTGTCTCGTCACCGCAAGCCTGGATATTATATACTCTGATATACTCTGTCAAGAGCTGATCAACTTTTGATGCTATGGAAATTTAAATTGTTTGACTCTTGGAGGTCACTATATATGCCAAGGTCAGGGACCTATCGAGCCTGACTCTCTAATAATTTTCTCTTTATTTACAACTAGCATTTTCGTCCACATGACAGCAATTGTTATTGAATGTCTGGGATAAATAGTAGTCTATGTCCTACATCCCCATAGACCTATTTAAGGGGTGAGAGGGGGATGGGCCGTAACAGAGAATATCGAGGCATAACCCCATAGTTCTCAGGAATGGTAACCCTTAAATCAGAAAAAATTGTAAATAATTCAGAGTACCATAGTCCTATTGCTAGCAATATGCTCTGACAGGTCGACCTCCACGAGTCCCTCCTGGAAGCCATCGTGCTGAATTCCAGGTTTATTCATCACGATGGGCTAACTGACCTACCTTTTTATTCTCACCTATCATCCCTCACTGGTGCCCCCGTCGGCGTATAACTGTTAGCGCAGGCGAGGTTCCCACTCCATTGTCATCCATTAAAAAAAAACATGCACATCATAAAATACTCTGTAAGGTTATTCTGTCATCGGTATGACGAAGGAACTGTATGACACCACTAACCTTCAAAGCCTTCTCGTCCCACTTCTTGCTGTGTATATCCAGTAGATTCATGCCGGAGCCGTCGGAGTAGTCGATGGGCGCCACGCGGCCCAGGAACAAGGAGCACGCGAACGACGACACGAGGGAGATCCTGGCGGCCGCGCGGTACGCACGCTCCCTGCTGCGGTACATTTTGCGGATCTGCGGGCCCGTGAACCGCTCGTATGCCGTCGAGCCCGTTATCCTGGCCAACTCCTGTCAACGGTTTCATTTTATGCGACTTACAATAGAATGAATAAAACAGAGGGGTTTCTCAATTCGCCATTTTTTTTAACAATGACGTCAAGTATTTACGTTACTAACTATGAATCAATTTCCAAAACTTTGCATATTTTTCCTGTCTTAGCCCCATTTTATTTTTCTGATTAAACCTTTTTTTTTATACAACTTAGAATGGCAAACAAGCTGACGACCCACCTGATGGAAAGTGGTAACCGTCGCCTATACACATGAGCAGTACCATAGACATAACTGAGTATACTGTTTCGCCCATGATACCCCCCATGCATTACCATTCCTGAGGACTCAGGTGTTATTCCTCTGTACCCAGTAAATTCACGCCATATCCCACTCTTCAAACCGAAACACAGCCATGCAAACACAACTGCTTAACGGTTAAAACACGAATGGGACAGAGGTACCCAAGCAATCGACTTTTGTACAAAGTCTCCCTCTGGTATTTTAGAAGCAAAATCCAATATCAAATACAATATTTATGTAGGAATTGTTCTGGATAATCTATAAAATCTATAAAACATCGTCGTTTATCTATACGTTTGTAATTGAAGTATTTTTTTTACGCGGTAATACATAGTTATATCTATTTGCCTATCACACGAAAACTATTAAAATAATGCGTGTACATACCTCGGGACCACCGACCGCCTCCTCGAGAGCCCTGCAGTCGGCGGTGGTGCTGGAGTCCATCCAGACAGGAGAGTTCGTCACGAATGCGGTCGCTAACTGCGTGTGCAGGAACTCGTCGGGGGACAAACTGGCCAGTTTAGACTCGCAGTCCTTGGACCACCACACCGAGCCGTGTTGCTACAATGTTAAAAATATCATAATTGGAATCAGTTATAATGAAGCTATCTCTTATGAACATGCCAGGTAATGTTTCTTTTTTCTAATTATAAGAACAAAAGAATAAAAGAGAGGAATAGTTTTTTTTTTTTTTTATACAACTTAGAATGGCAAACAAGCTGACGGTCCACCTGATGGAAAGTGGTAACCGTCGCCTATAGACATGAGCAGTACTATGGACATAACAGAGTATACTGTTTCGCCCATAATACACCCCCATGCGTTGCCATTCCTCTCCTCATTCCTAAAATGTTATTCCTCTGTAACCTGTAAATTCACGCCATATCCCACCCTTCAAACCGAAACACAGCCATGCAAACACAACTGCTTTATGGTTGATACACGAATGGGATAGAGGTACCCAAGCAAACGACTTTTGTACAGTCTCCCTCTGGTAGTCTATTCCAAGAGAACACAATGAAGTCTCAAAACTGATGTCTGATGTTGGGAAAGGCGAGGTAAAATCCGGCCAGCGACCCAGCTCAAATATTGAAGGAGATAATAGTGATAAAATGAACGCTCTATATAAGCAACTCATTTGAACCAATTTCAATAAAACAAAAATCTTATTGGGAAAAGTTGCTTTTAGGAAAAAAGGTGTATAAAAATAGGTTATGGTATGAGCTCCCTGCCGAGGTTTTTCCAAGAGCCTACAGCATGGGGTCTTTAAAAGGGTGTAAAGACGTTTCTTCAGTGTCAGCAACGCATGTGTAATACCTCTGATATTGCAGGTGTTCATAGGCTACGGTAACCGCTTACCATCGGGGGGAAAGGATTGTTAGTAATGGGGTCTAATGAACACATTGCTAGCAATACACTATCAGGTCGACCTCCACGTGGTTCCCCCTGGAAACCATCGTGAACAATTCTTGAATTTGTCACAATGGGCTTACTGACCTGCTTCAACCTCATCTATCATCCTTCACTGGTGCCCCGCCAGTGTATACCGACAGCGCAGGCGGGGTTACCAATCCATTATCACCCATTAAAAAAAAACACTTACCATCAGGTGGGCCGTATGCTTGTCTGCCACTTTAGTTGTATAAAAAAAAATCCTTGAGCGTAACAATGTTCAATGCACCAAAATGAATAATACAGCTAATTAACAAGAATTGTGAAATGAAAGTGAAGTGCACGCGCGGCTTGTTCTCGTTACGTTGGCCGAAAAAGGATTGTTACACTTTCATATATTAATTAAACACATTGTCATCGAGTCGTACGTCTGTCTTGCGTGGTTACAAATAAATACAAAGTAAAGCTTTTTTTTATACAACTTAGAATGGCAAACAAGCTGACGGCCCACCTGATGGAAAGTGGTAACCGTCGCCTGTAGACATTAGCAGTACCATGGACATAGCAGAGTATACTGTTTCGCCTATGATGTTATTCAGATGTTATTTCTCCGTAACCTGTAAATTCATGCCATATCCCACCCTTTAAACCGAAACACAGCCTGCAAACACAACTGCTTTACGGTTGAAACACGAATGGGACAGAGTTACCCAAGCAATCGACTTTTGTATAGTCTCCCTCAATAAATGAGTGTGTAAATGAGTTATGTAAATGAGTGCATAAGATTTACTCATATAGTTTTAAAAACAAAAAATTCACTGCTGTTCCACTGCAGAAATGAACAATAGGTATGATGATACATTAGTGAGTCATATGTAAATGTACGTAGTGCCTTAAAAAGGAGACCATAAATTACGTCACATGAAATATAATGGTTTTAGAAACATATGGGCAAATAGACTTAGTAATGATAAAGTTTTAAAGCTAATTTGAAGCTATTCTTCACTGAACCCATAAATTATTGTTTCTCTAAAACTATGGGTACCTTTATAATTTTTGTTTTTGAATTTAATACCAGAGGGAGACTTTGTACAAAAGTCGATTGCTTGGGTACCTCTGTCCCATTCGTGTTTCTACCGTGAAGTAGTTGTGTTTGCATGGCTGTGTTTCGGTTTGAAGGGTGGGATATGGTGTGAATTTACTGGGTACAGAGGAATAACACCTGAGTCCTCAGGAATGGCAACGCATGGGAGGTATCACGGGCGAAACAGTATACTCAGTTATGTCCATGGTACTGCTCATGTCTATAGGCGACGGTTACCACTTTCCATCAGATGGGCCGTCAACTTGTTTGCCATTCTAAGTTGTATAAAAAAAGAAAAAACTTTATTTCATATTATTTATTTTACTAAAAATGTAATACAACAACATATGGAAGAAGGCACTAACTCCTGAAACACAGGTTTTTTCATACCTACCTCGGGAGTTAGGGACTTCACACTATATTGTTACAATGATTGAAATAAAGATTTATTTATTATTATTATTTATACTTATATTACAAAGAGATTTTTTTATTGTTTTTTTTTTGTAATGAACAAACTCAACTGATTTTAAAAATCCTTGCCCCTGTAAGTAAAGCTACATTAGCCAGTATCATCGGCTATATATCGTCATAGTCGTAGAATACTGACGGATCTGACAAAAATATAAAGATCCGTCAGTATTCTATGACTATGACAATATTACTTTCGAAAATTTAATCTACTCATGTGAAGCTGGGCTGGAATCTAAAATATAAAAAGCTAATCATTTTGTATTTTAGACTGATAAATATTGTAACATCATGAAATTTAAGGTTAATCCTGACCCCTGTCATATTATTACCATTTTGTGTGATAGTTAATTTATATTTTCATATTTTTCATTCATACTTTTTATTGTTTATTATATAAATATCTATTTATAAAGAAGAAAATGTATGAAATAATGCAGTAAAGAACAAAAAGAAGTTTTAATCAAATAAACTTAATTATATAACTAAATAAATTACATTTTTGAATCATAATTTTTTTATGATTCTACCTCCCATTTGAAATGCAATTTTACCTGGCAAGAATGGGTAGGAGACTTAACTATTGCTTTTTTCAAACTAAAGTTTATTTCATAGTTATAAAATTGTATCAATATTGATTACCTAACAGTATTAAACTGTTTTAAATTATTAGTCAAGTCCATTATTGTAAATATTATATTGTATTATATATCTAATAATATAAAAAATGTCAAATATAATGAGATATATTATTACCTGTGCAGCGCCCGAGAGTGCCTCGATTGTGGAGAAGTCAACACCAGCCACAACAAGCATGTCCATCACCATATCGAGGGCCTTCACCCATAACAGTGGTGGGGCCGTGACCTCGCCCCGCTGCTGACCCCGCAGCACACCCCCAGCTGTCCTGTGAAATGACAAACAAGATGAAAAAAAAAGATCAAAGAATAGAAAACATTTTAAAATTTGAAAAATGAAATGATGTGGCATCCTATTCATCATTTTTTCAATTACATAAAAATTATTAGAATTTTATACTAAAAAAATTTCTATTACAAGTTTTTAATCTAAAATTAAAGAAAAAAAATGTGTATTTATGGTTTTCAATTGATAATAATATTTCAAAATTCTTTCTATTAAGTAATTTAAGAATTTTTATTTTAAATACTTACCTGAACTCAGGGAGATCTGAATCAAATTCAACATTGGCTTCATGTAATACTCCATAATCCTCACCAATTACTAATGCTTTCAACTGAAAGTAATATCAATAACAACTAATAATAAAAAAAATACCAAAAAAAACCAATAGATCTATATACTTTTATGAATGTAAATTAAAGTAACTTGAATACTTAGGTATCATAGAATATCTTGTTATTATTTAATGATAAAGATGGTTTCATAATTTAATAGCTTACATAAGTCAAATTAAGTAAATAAATTTAAAAAACAAATAATTATTCTGATAAGAATTAACATCATCCTAAAAAAATTATAATTTAAATGGTTGCCATGACTTCCTAAAGTAGGTAATCAATATGTTTAGAATTTGTATTGAAATATTGATCCAAAAAAAGAAATGAGTTGCCTATTTGTAATCAAAATATTATAAACTTATCAACAACTTATATTTACATAAGTAAAAAAATTACTTAAGTAAAAATTATAATTGTACCTTACAATTAATTATAAATCGAAGGCAACAACAGCAAAATACAACGCAATACTTTCTTAAATAAAATTATGATTTTCCTAAGTATTATTTATAAAATTAAAATTTTTATTAAAATTTTTAGACATAACTGAATATTCTTATAAACCAAACTTAGTTGCTTATGTATTCTAAGGTTAAATAGTTTCTTTTCACTTTAAATAATTTTATATATATTATTCGTTGATAATGTTAATGAAACACAAAACAGTCAAATAAAAACAAACTCACCCTTTGCGTACTAAAATCAAATCCTAAAAAAGTTTTCTTCCTTGTTTCGTCAGTCATTTCTTTTTTTTTCTAAATATTTTGACAGCGCGCGGCCAATGACACTCCGTGTACGTTCCGGAGACAGTAACTTTGAACGTTTCGTGACTAAATGCCGTCATACATAGAATTTATGAAATTATTATTGTAACTCGGGCGCGATTTCACGATATCATTATTTTATTTTACAACACCCAATTAACAGAATCTTAATAACTACAATTGAGTATTTAGGGTAATTCGATAAAGAAGCCATAATAATATTTATGTTGCCAAGGTTGCGGTTATCTAATGTTTAAATAATGAATAGGTAGGTAGATAGGTATGTCATAATTATTTAAATTTTAGAAATATACCTATTCATACATATAAAAACTTCTAAGTCCTTGATATATTATCTAAGAATTAATTATATTTTTTTTCAAAGTTTCTTGATATTGGGATAGGTGATGTAGTATAGATAGTAAGCAAGGCCGTCCTTAGCCTACCTTAGCGTTCCTAGATAAATTTCTGCGGAGGATAAAGCATAGTTGGGGTCCTACCCCAGATTTATCTAAAGCCCACTCTAGGATGCGAGCGGAACATTTAACTATTGCACAAAGATTAGTCTGAGAGTATATATGCCTTTTTTAAGGGTCCATGCTCCTCCCCAAACATAATTATAAATATGCTAATAGCAGAAGTGGGGGGAGGGGGCTTACGATGATAAAAGCAAGGTCACCAGTGACTCTTGACTGAGAAGCTCCTAGGCAACTTTTTATGATCTCCGGTGCGCCTCCAAAACTACCGAATATAAAATCGGGTATCCGCTGTATCTTCCAAAGTAGTGACGTCAAATTTGATGCGGTCCTTTACAGATCCTATAGCGCCCCTTTTAAACTACGAAGTTCCTGGACATCGTCTGACCGTAGTGGTGTGGTACAAAACCCTTAAAAGACGTACTTCAATACTGTTCCATGATGTAATCTCGCATAAGTAAACGGAATGTAAACGAAGTCAATGGATACATGTAGCGTTTGATTTTTTTATACTGGTGATGATGATGATGATGGTAGTGAATGGCATAATTTCATTTTCAACGAATTATCATAACCACATTATTAAGGCAGCAAGTTAACATCTTTGAAACAAGAAAGAGACTTCTTTATCTTCTTAAATACTTACTTCTATTCACTTATTTTTTTGCGTGATAGAATCCGAAACAAGGATATCCGCAAAAGAACCAAAGTAACCGACATAGCCCGAAGGATAAGCAAGCTGAAGTGGCAATGAGCTGGTCACGTAGCTTGAAGAATTGACAACTAATGGGAAAGAAAGGTTCTTGAGTTGCAACTCCGTACCGGCAAACGCAATGTAGGACTACTCCCTACTAGATGAGAATATATATATATATATATATATATATATATATATATATATATATATATATATATATATATATATATATATATATATATATATATAAATACATTGCAAAGGAGTCGGTGGATGCAGGTGGCTCAGCACCGTTCCTTATGACAGGCTATGGGGGGAGGCTTATGTCCAGCAGTGGACAGATAATGTCTGTAATAATGAATGATGACTTAAATTTGCAGTTATTGCATCTTAATCTGAAGAAATGTCAACATTTTTATTTATTTATTTATTCATTAATTATAACATTATAACAGCAAAAGCCAAATCAATGTTATAAATTTAGTGTGGCAACATACAAAGTTATAATAAATGTATTTAACCCGACTCAAAATATTTCTGAACGGCTTCTAATATCTTTGGCGGGCTACTACTAAATATATCAATGATGTTTATAATATTATTTAATAACCGTACTGCGTGAGTTAAGGGAACGTGCTGAAGTAGGTTAGTTCTTACTGGCGGGATATTAAAGGTAACCGGATGACGGCGCGCGCTAACATAACCATTCGGTACTCGCAGTTGGACTGTCTCTAGCACTTGTAGGTGACCATAGGCGTCACAATTTATTTTATTATAACCATGATACTGTTCATATTTATAGGCATAGGCGGGTGCCGGATGGGCCGTGGCTACCCCAGAATTGGAAAAATACGCCAAAATTTATAGATTTACAACAGGCGACGTGAGAAGGGTTTTTTTTTTGATGGGTAAAAATGGTACAGTAATGGTATATGCCTGCGCTAACGGGATACGCTGGCGGAGCACCAGTGAAGGGTGATAGATGAGAATGAAAACAGGTCAGTTAGCTCATCATGATGAATTCATCAGGAATTAACCATGATAGTTTCCAGGAAGAACCGCGAGAAGGTCGACCTGGTTGGGTATATTGCTAGCAATGGGATTCTCAGTGTCCATTACTAACAATCCCTTTCCCCCCGACGTGTGAAGGGTATCATTGACACTGTACACTGTGTTATGTCATGGTACTGTTCATGTCTTCAAAAACTCCATATTGTAGTGCTGTACTGGTACAACTCTTTCCATAATATTACAATAATCCTAGCCATCGGAATTTTTTTTTATACAACTTAGAATGACAAACAAGCTGACGGCCCACCTAATGGAAAGTGGCAACCGTCGCGTATAGACATGAGCAGTATCATGGACATAAACGAGTATACTGTTTCGCCCATGATACTCCCCATGCGTTGCCATTCCTGAGGACTCAGGTATTATTCCTTTGTACCTAGTAAATTCACGCCATATCCCACCCTTCAAACCGAAACACAGCCATGCAAACACAACTGCTTTACGGTTGAAACACAAAACACGAATTATTACTTATGGATTTAATTATCCCTGATCATTTTAAATGAGCAAACTATAAGAAATGTGAATTTGCTTCATGAAGCTTAGCATGGTCCGCATGCAATTACGCCATTGTTTTTCGAAGGGAGTTTAGTACCTTAAAAAAATCGTATATGCCATTTACAGATATATCTCTGCGTAAAGCTGGAGACTTTGCTTGGTTTCTGTGATGGGCACCAAATAATTCAAGGGTGGGCACGACCTATCCAGCTCACCCTTAAAAACGCTTATTCTTGTATTATGTGAATGCTGTGACTTTTACCTACCAAAAAGTTATTTAATTTTTTTTTAATGGGTGATAATGAAATAACCCCACCCGCGCTATCGGTATACACCGGCTGGGCACCAATGAAGGATGATAAGCGAGGATGAAGCAGTCAGTTAGCCCATCGTGACGTATTCAACAAGAATTGTTCACGATGGTTTCCAGGGGGAACCACGTGGAGGTCGACCTAATAGGGCATATTGCTAGCAACGGGGCTGCCAAACACTATTGCTAACTATTCCTTTCCCCCAGTTATTTCAATTTAGCTATGACATGGTTGGCTGTCTTGAGTAAGTCGTGCTCACTAAAATATCCCGACAGGTGGCGGCGTGGTGGACCGAGTTATCAAGCTTCATAAAGTATAGTTGAACGCAATGATGACTCACATACTTATGATTGGGAGTTATGGCTAAGGACGTGTTTTGGTGTAACGACACACTAACGAGTGCCCACTCCAGAATTGTCTGGTACCCATTCTAAGAAACTTTTGACTAAGTGTAAAGACATCTGACGAAATGTGTTTTTTTAAAGCTCCTGGCTAATCATTTTAAATACGGTAATAACATAAAAAAAAAAATATCGTTTTTACGCAGCAGAGAATAAAAAATAATCTGACAGCCTTCCCGACAGGAAGCGGTAACCATCATCTATGAACTATGGAAAGGGATCGTTAATAATGGAGTCTAACAGACTCTTACGACATACACTGGAAAGGAAGGAGTGGCCCATTCTATGTTAGGACCACACGACAATCTCCCTGAATGCATGGATAGAATCATAGTTGTAATATAATAGACTAATGCCCAGTAAATTAGTACCTAATAGATAATAGATAATCATGCATGTAGGTATTTTAAACGATCAACTTTGTAAGGTAATCGCAGCAGCATTGCCAGAAGCATTATGCATTTCCCCCCAAATTTTGAAGATTTTATCTGCAAATTTATAGGATTCCATCATTTTTAACTAATCACAAGTATTTATTCGTTTTCTCTATCTATTTCTAAGTGTGGTTTATGCGAGCTACAAAATAATAAAAAAAAACAGCGTAATGGTGTTTTTTATATCATATTTTTTTTTATACAACTTAGAATGGCAAACAAGCTGACGGCCCACCTGATGGAAAGCGGTAACAGTCGCCTATCGATATGAGCAGTACCATGTACATAACAGTGTACTGTTTCGCCCATGATACCCCCCACGCGTTGCCATTGCTGAGGACTCAGGTGTTATTCCTCTGTACCCTGTAAATTCACGCCATATCCCACCCTTCAAACCGAAACACAGCCATGCAAACACAACTGCTTCACGGTAGAAACACGAATGGGACAGAGGTACCCAAGCAATCGACTTTTGTACAAAGTCTCCCTCTGGTAAATGGTTTACAAATATCAAAACAGTGAACAAAATTACACACACAATGAATGTCAATAGAGAAGAGGCGTGGAAATTGGGCCCTCATTACTAACGAGGGGGAAAATTTATAGTAATAGGGTCTAACAGTTCCATTCCATGGAAAAGAGTATGTTAGTAATGTAGTAGTTAAAGTTCTAATAGTTCCATTGCTAGCAATATATCTTATCAGGTCAACCTCCACGTGGTTCCCCCTGGGAACCATCGTGATTAATTCTGGTGACATTGGTCACGATGGGCTAACTGATCTGTTTTTATCCTCACCTGTTATTTCTTACTGGTATCCCGTCAACGTATACCGATAGCGTTTGCGGGCTTACCATTTCACCCATGGAAAGAAACAGTTCCATTGATAGCAGTATACCTTATCAGGTTGACCTCCACCCAGTTCATCCTGGAAAACTAACGTATTTAATTCTTGTCGAATTCATCAAGATAAAGAGCATATTCCTTTTTCAAATGCCGGCAGCACACCTGCAATGCCGTTGGTGTTGTGGGTAATTATGGGCGGCGGTAGTCACTTACCGCATGCACGTTTGACCCCTGTGTTGTAAAAACAAAAATGATGGGTCAACTGACCTGCTTTTATCTTCACCTATCATCACTCACTGGTGCCCTGCCAATGTATACCGATAGCGGAGGCGGGGTTACGATTCCATTACTAACAATCCTTTCCCCTCCAAATGAGGCATTGTGAATCTTACAATACAAGTATCAAATGAAAATTTTCAGTTTACCCAAACCAGGAAACGTATTTTCCAAAAATTGGTTTGGGTCTAACTGTTATCTACTTTAGCAATTTCTCATTACCAAATCCTTATTTAAAAAATTAAGACATTAAATAAATTAAAATAGTTTTATCGTATGAAAATATATTTTAATCGCCTCATAATGAACTATGTCACTAAAAGCGGCCAGCATTTTTCTCGGAATCCAAGTTCCGCTTAATTAGAGTAGCCCCTTGTCACGATTCGTTAGCGCGGATGACCCTAAATTACTTAAAAAAAACCTATTTGAAGTGCTAAAGGCGTAAATTGCCGTACCATTGCACGCCCTCGCCCACCGGGGCGATTGTGTAAATATAAACCTATAAAGCGGACCGACTGAGCCGTGTGGGTTTTCCATGAGATTAGCGATGTAACATGCACGTTGTTAGAAGTCCACATGCGAACTATATGCACTGCCCTATCTACGTGCTGGGTATGTGATCGGGACCTTTCGGCCATTGTCATTGAACTTTAGAACATTGCGAACTGATGTGAAGGTTTGATGCCTACATATATAATATAATACTTACTTACTTATATATGTTTATATTTATAAGTCGATGTAGCTAGACAAACAGCAGGGGAACTTGAGGTTTAAAGAAATTATTTCCTTTTTTTTTATACCACGAAGGTAGCAAGCATACAGTATGTCTGATGGAAACATTAAACATTTGATTTAGCTTAGCTCTTGGCTCTTAGCGATAAGGTCGCCTATTGTTTTCTCATTGTGATTATTTCTTGTAATTATTTATATTTATAATAAGTTTACTATTGTAATCTTTTGGAGGAAACAATAAAGAGTATCTATCTGTCTATTGAAAGTTCACTTGAAATGAGATACAGATATTTATTTTTATTTCACTTTATTAATGAAATGTACAATTCCTAAAATGTATAAATAATTATAACAGCAAAATATCAGTGAAGTAATATAATTATTAAATTAAATACTAAACATCGAGTAGATTTTCATAATAACTGATAAGCGACGACGGTCCACCTTATGGAAAGCAGTAACCATCGTCAATAGACAAAGACGGCACAGCATATTCTATAATAATTATAATAATAGTTTTATTCGCTATGATTTAGATAGTTTCTATGGTTGCCATTCCTGAGGACTATGGTATCACGACTCATGTAATTTCAATTCCATATCCCACCCTTCAAACCGAAACACAACTGCTTCACGGTAGAAACACGAATGGGACAGAGGTGTCCCTGTGACGCCCAAATTATCCTATTTGGGAAGTGTGAGACATTACACCTTTTACAATTTCAATGCCATATTCTACCTTTAGAACCAAAACATTTTATTTTATTTATACATTTTGTACAAAAGTCGTGCTTGGGTACCTCTGTCCTATTCGTGTTTCAATCGTAAAGCAGTTATGTTTGCATGGCTGTGTTTCGGTTTGAAGGGTGGGATATGGCGTGAATTTACTGGGTACAGAGGAATAACACCTGAGTCCTCAGGAATGGCAATGCATGGGAGGTATCATGGACGAAACAGTACACTCTGTCTTGTCCATGGTACTGCTCATGTCTATAGGCGACGGATACCACTTTTCATCAGGTGGGCCGTCAGCTTGTTTGCCATTCTAAGTTGTATAAAAAAAATTGCCGTGTAGGATCCGACATAGAATAGGCCACCCCTTCCTTTCTCATGGGTATCGTAAGATGCGACTAAGGGAGCTTATGGTGGAGGGATAGGCAGCAACGTCCCTCTTAAAACATTACCAGAAACCAAACTGCCGTTGCCAACCGTGCTAAAGGTGGCAACTACTGTCAAAATCCCCTTTATGGGGAAAGCTATATTCATAACATTAAAAAAAACTACAATTAATACAGTACGTTACTTGAACGATAATTTTATATAACGCAGTAGCAAAGACACAGCGTGTATACTAATTTTAAACTTTTTACCCGAAGGATAAAACAAGCTATAAAAAAAATAACATAAGATAAAAAAGAGTTTTATGTTTGTCTTTTAGACTTAAGATAACCATTACATTATGTAAACTATAGACCGGGATGTCAGATTTATAATTAGGTATGTAAATAACATATCTCTGCTATGTACATATAAGGCACTAGCACTTCTAACCTATTTATATAGACAGCCATGCTTTGCCTAATATAAATAAATAAATAGTGCTATCAAATTTAAACAAATAAATAGTGATTTTAGTAAGATCTGTGGGAATAGTGCGTGGCGTTTGGTGGTCGGGTCGCCGGGGCCGGCGGCGGCCGCGCGCCGCTGCGAGGATGCTGCGCCTCTTAAAATTGTAAACAAGAGCTTTTTCGATTGGTGGGCGGCAGCGCGCACGCGCCGTCTGTCGCGCGTGAACTTGTCACGGCGTAAAATATATTTTTTTTATTGTAATATTTGGTAAAAAGCTCAAATACACGAGTAGATGTTAGGTGTTATATATTTAGAACAGTAGGTTTACAGACAATATACAATTGATACTTCATGTATAAACTTGTTCTCTATAGAGGACAAAAATCATGAGAGATCAAGTTCTACGATGGGTATTTATTAAGTTTATTTGTAATTGGTTTGGGTGTTATATAACATAATTAGAACAATAGATTTACAGACAATATACAATTGGTACTTCATGTATAAACTTATCCTCTATAGAGGACAAAAACCGTGAGAGATCAAGTTCTACGATGGGTGTCTGTTAAGTTCATTTGTATTTCGTTGGTACTCAGTAATATTTCATTAGATTCAACACTCTTCTGAAGACTTCATGCAATTGCGTACTACGATAGTCTTATGGATGAGGTATCCAAAATGAAGTAACATAGTGTTTCAGATGTATATGGTAATAATAATACATTTATGCAGCCTTATAATGATCAACATCATCTTTTCTTCGTTTATGTTTATTCATAATGCCTTTTTACTGAGCTATACTGTCAAAAACATTTTTGTATAGGAGTATCTCCCAAAACTTCTTAACAATGTTGACCTGATTTGTGAGAAAGTACGCGTTTGTGATGAAGATACTTACTCGACAAGTCATGGAACTCATACTCATGACGGTAGTGTCGAATGAATCATTAGATACATGTAAAAAGCAAAACGGTCATTTATATTTGACCTAGCTATGATCTAGAAATATTGTATTTGTTATTTGCATATAAAAATCTAATGTCATGTTTTAGCAAATGTTTCGAAAGATAACAGAATAAATCGATCGGATGGAAGCTGAACGTCGGCACGAGGTCTGTTGTTGTGGCGGAGCGCGGCGCCGCGGAGGGCGGCGTGGTGCGCGGCGGCGGGCGGCGGCGGCGGCGGGCGGCGGCGGGCGGCGGCGGGCGGCGGCGGGCGGCGGCGGGCGGCGGGGGCGCGTGCGCGCTGCGGCCGGGGCGCGGGCGGCAGACGCGCCGCGATGGTGGGCCGCGACAGCCGCTCGGAGAGCGCGGCGCGCCCCTGGGCGCCGCGGCATGAGTAGCGCGCCAGCCCGGCCCGGCCCGCGCGCCCGCCATGGCGCAGGCCGCGCCCGCGCCCCATCGCACCCACTCCTTCGCGAAGAAGACCTTCCACAAGCCCACGTACTGCCACCACTGCTCCGATCTGCTGTGGGGCCTCATCGGGCAGGGCTACGGCTGCGAAGGTACGCGCCGCGCATGCGCCCCGCGCGCGTCGATACCGGCTCCGCGCGCGTCCGCCGCCGGCACGACCAGCACGTTATGCAACCCGGGTCCGGCGTCCGGCGTCCGGCGTCCGGCCCCGGGCGTGTCCGGCCGCGCGCCGCCCTGATCGATACCGCCCTCGTCGCGTCCGCCACGCGGGACGGCCGCCGCCTCTCCCCTCGTCTCCCGCTAGATCTAGATCCTCGTTTATCGACGTGCAAGTTCGACTTGTGTGCATTTGAATTTTTAAGGACGTCTCGGTCGACCGTCGTCGGCTGTATTTCTAGTACACGGACAGTCACGACATAGCAGTTGATGGAAGTTCACCACGTTAGAGATGGGGCATTGTGACGGTGCCGTGGACGGATCGATGCTAGGAAGGCTCTAGATCGTCTGCAAATCGCCGGTGGCTAAGCGAGTGAACATTTTAGATCATATCGATCGATCTGTTTTGTAAGAGGTTTTTTCGTAGCGGTTGCGCGGGGCGAGGCGGGGCGCGGCGTGCATCCCCCGCTCGTGTACCATAGCTGTAAGCTAGATGTTGTGAACGTGTCCCCATATCCCCGAAATGTGACAATGTGACGGTAAGTGGTGCTAAGTAGGCGCGTGTCCTGACACCGCTGATAACAAGTCAATAACTCCAACCTGAGCCAGAGGACATCTTGTTTTTGCGCATTTTGTTATGAACCTGCGAGTTTTCGTCAAAATTCACTAAAGTAATCGAATAGAATTAATCGATAAAACATTGGCATACTTCGTATACTGTTCAGTCAAGTGATATACTCTGTACTCACAATATGATGTGTATCTAGGAATATCCCTTTTGCGCAACATAGATCTTAACTATCTATAAACAAGGTAAAAAGTAATGCAATAAACAACCAATTTTATAGACACATAGATAAATATACATATCTATTTACTTCATTATAGAATAAAATCAAACCCTTTTTTACTTATAATATTGAACCTACCACATAATTCCATGTACAATATTCACAAATATAACATATTCACATAATTTGAATCACATTTTGTTCAAATTATGGCATCTATAGAAAAATAACTAAAGAGTATAAAATATAAAGTCATATCACTTATTGAAATTAAATATTCGAATGAATTAATTCGTTAATAATTGTGCAAAGACAAAATCCACTGATATGTATACCATATAGAAAGATATATAATTTATTTGCATTACTTATAGCCCACGAATAACAACAGATATAACTACATATGCAAAAAAAAAAAAAGAAAAAAAAAACATAAAAGAAGTAATATAATTTTTCATTTCGTGCGTGTGCCACAGTAACACAAAATGGTCACAACTCAGTTTATTGCTTTGCCCTCAAAAGAGCAAAACACTGATATTCTGTTGTGGCCAAGAGACAGCCGAGCGATTTCTTGACAAAAAAAATGAATAAAAAAAAATGGATAAAATTAATTGTGTATGTCCATTACAATCATTATTATTTAATATCTTAATCTATAAAAAAAATAAAAAAAAAATTAGAAAAGGAGTAGTCAGAGGTCACCCTCGATCATATTCAAGCATTCAAGTGTTAAATATTTCCGCTACATACCTATTAGGTATGCCAATTTTTTTGTTTATTAATTAAAAAATATATATATAATACACAAAAATATTACTTATATATGTAGAGTATTTTTAATAGGTACCATTTTTTAGTGGGCATTAGTAGAACTAACAAAAACCTTCAAAGCTTAAAAATGTCTGAATAGCGAACATTTTTTATATATTTACTAAACTATTTATTGCACCTAATAAATAGAAATATATAGTGGCAATTAAAAAAGTAAATTAAGATAAAGTACTTGGCTGAATAGTCCCGGCATAGAATACGCCACCCTTCCTTTCCCGTGAGTGTCGTAAGAGACGATTAAGACGGTCTTATGGTTGAGGGATGAACAATAAGGTCCCTCTTAAAACATCTCTAAAAGCCTAACTGCCAATGCCAAGCCGCGTGGCAACTACTGGCAAAACTCCCATATGGGGAACTATGGGGAAGTCTTATGTTCAGCAGTGGACAGTTAACGAGTAAAATGAGGATAAATTATAGACATAAGGTACAAAACGGCGGTCTTATCGCTAGGGCAATCTCTTACAAACAACTTGGTTAAAGGAGAACAGATAGAGAATTACACATTTTACAGTGCATTTTTTTTAATTAAACACCTAACCGGAATAAATGTATTCGATTTATACACAAAGTACAATAGTGTCCTCTTAGTTTTTAAGGAATAGGAAAATTATAAGGTACAAAAACATAAGTCCAAAGTCCTCAAGAATGAGTTGAAATCACATCAAAAACTGCCACCACATTAACTACGGGCATCACAGTTTATTCTATGATGTCATGTCGATGGTTACCATTTTCTATCAGATGGGCTGTCAACTTCTTTGACATTTTTAACCGACTTCGAAAAGAAGGACGTTCTCAATTCCCGTATCCATCCATCCAAGTAAACCGATTTGAAAAATTATTTTTTTATCTAAAAAGATATACTTATAAATTGTACCCCATAGAAATTTTATAAAATCGGTTCAGTAATAAAAATAACTGGTGTTGCCACAATTGAGGTTAGTTTTTTGCAGAAGATTGTGTTCTATTATCTTCCAAACTCAAGAATAAAATAAAAATGTTTAATTTATCTGGTAACATAGATTATAACTATATCTACATCATGTAAGTCGTTATCTGTCTACTGCTGAGCATAAGTCCCCCCCCCCTATAGGGGGGTTTTACCAGTAATTGCCACGCTTGGAAGGCGGGTTGGCAACTGCAGTTTAGCTTTTAGTGATGTTTTAATAGGGGCGATGCTGTTTATTTCTCGTCCATTGAATTTCCTTAGTCGCCTCTTACGACACCCACTGTATAGAAGAAGTATTTTACGCCATTCTATCAATTAGTTATTGCAACAGCGTACTTTTAACGTAAATATTATTCCCCTCACATGATGGGTAAATAAATCTCTTTAGTGTATAATTAACGTGTAAAGTCAGAAGTCGCATTAACCAATGAACCGTGGCGTGAATTTACAGGGTACAGAGGGATAACACCTGAGTCCTCAGGAATGGCAACGCATGGAGAGTAAGAAATAAAGAAATATTCATGTATCATATCCATCATAATCATAATCATGTATGTAAATTGAAGCATTTTTGAATAGTCATTTTTTATATTGTTCTTTCGCCCATTCGGAATATAATTTCGGCTAAGAACAGGCAAGAAACTCGGCTGTTTTTTTTCAAAAGCTTAAAGTTTTTACAAATTATAAATTTTTATAAATACAAACTACTGAGTAGTAAACAAATAGTAAGAATTAAGATACTGTTACAGGTAATCGCCATCGACAGGGAATTTATTCTCACCCGCTTGAACCTAAATTGTCACGTACAGTGCGCTTTCAATTCGTACAGTGACAATTCACGTTTAATAGTTAAAATACAATCTGACTTCATCTAGAATATAGATTACCTAATGTTTGTAGCAACTGCTACGACTAAGTCGTAGCCCGTAACTAAAGACGGCTAGGAGACCTCACGTAGCGGACAAGCTGAGGTCTACGTAGCGCAGCCGTAGCGAGCCGCGTAGCAACGTAGCAAATATCTACATTCCTTACTGTACAATACAATTGTTAGAGCGTACGCTATTTAATTTTAAATTAATATTTTGTAAATGTAATATTTTTTATCTATTTTTAAACATCGTACAGTTTTTTTTTTGTATTTATATCTATTTAAGAGACCGTCCATACTAAGAATTATGTTAATTATTCTAAAACTTTTTGTTTTTCATTTTTATAATTTCACACAAGACATCGTAATTTCAGAGTGTTAATGAATACTTAGAATTTTATGCAAAGTATGAATATGTCGTGGTGTGGCCTTATTCTATGTCGAGTGGTTCCGGCGTAGAATAGGCCACTTCTTGCTTTACCATGGTTGTCGTAAGAGGCGACTTACTGCGGTTGCTAATCCGCCTGCCAAGCGTAGCAACTACTGGCAAAACCACCAAGAGGGAGGCTTATATTCAGCAATGGACGGTTAAAAACTGATATTATGATGAAGATGATAAATATGCCTCTAATATATAATCATATATGTTCAAGATTAGACATTATAGTTGTTTTAATAAAAGTTAAATTTTTCGCACTTGCAATATTAGAACCATAGATATAGACCATTTAACCGCTAGAAGGTCAAACATTCAAATTTTGTTAACGGATAGAACTACACGCACTTTTGTATTTATTTTAATTTATTATAAAACTTGAGGCACGGACAAGCATTTCATTTCAACCAAGAGCTTCTCACCTTCAAGCGCAAACATATATTATATAGCAAAATTTTAAATACAAACTTTAAAGTAAAATTATCCCCTCAAGATATTAAACTTTGCATTATTAAATAGGACATACGGTTGTTATAGAAAAAAATTACCGGGCAAATAAATATATGTATTACATATATCTCCCGATTTATCCACTTTCCTGAAATGATTTTATATAATAGTTATTTATTTATTTATTTCACTGTTTCTTTTATGTTATCAATACTATATAGTATTTATTTATTTAAATAACTTTATTGACCCGATTAAAATATGGTACAAAACGTGGAGTTAATGCACTAGCATTATATAGTATGTATTGAATGCTACTAAGCATTCTCTACCAGTCAAGCTTTAAAATAGACAGAAAATCACGAATGCTGTACTTCAGTTATATACTATACTATGTGTTTCACTATCTTAACTCTGTTCGTATAAATAATATTAATTCCTTTAGTTCCACCTAAAGAACGTGTTATAGTTTTAAAGAGAATTATAATTAATTATCCGTATATATGTATGTAGACACATACATAAAACAACATAGGCCCTAACCAAATTTCCGTGTAAAAAGTCCCTTCGTGAACAATTACTTCAAATTATTACGACAATGAAGAGCTTCA